TAATATATATATATAAAATTTTTTATTTCTTACTGGCTAATTTATATTTGATGTTTTTTAAAATAAAATATTTATGTAACAATACTTGATTTGCAAAAAAGTGAATTTGATTTGCAAAAGAATGAATTTGATTTGCAAAAGGGCGAATTTAAAGTGCAAAACCTGTAAGAACGGGTAACGTGTATACTACTACATACAATTTAGATTTAGAATAATTTAAAATATAAAAAGATTTTGTAAAACAAAATTAAATGGTTTTGAGTTACGTATCGCATAAATCTTCTTCAAAGACAAAAATTTAACTTTTTTTAATATACATTTGTTAAATTTAATTTATCGTATATTTAAAATTTTTCCACTTTATATTTATTCTCATTTCAGTTTCTTCAATCAATCCAACTTTAACTCTTTAAATATAATTTAGGCGACAGTAATTTATACAGATAAAATTTTTTCCTTTTTCTTACATTTCTTTGCTGATTTCTTTCTTCGTTAATTTTTTAATCTAACTTCAATATAAAATAAAAAAGTTTGTATATCTCGGTTGTTGCATTAGCAGTAAAAGGATTCCATAATGTACACTAAAAGTGCTCACGGAAAAAACGACGCTCCGTAAAGAAACGAATTTACATTATTCATTCAATGCAGTAGACGACCATACGATGTGTTAAAAAATATCAAATCTTTAAAACGTATCAGTGACTAGACATTGCTATATGTATGTCATGAAAACGGCCATAAGCAGCATAAAATGCAAATATAATCCAGCTAGGATAACAACAATATCGAAGATTGACAGTGAAGAGTTAGATTAGATTGAAATGAGAAAAGTTGCTACTTCTTTCTCAGACAGAATATATGTGCATACGTATATACGCGTTATTTGAAGAGGAATATTTTCTGAGCTTTGTGAACAAACGAAATAGAGCATCGGTTAAGTCTATTTCCACCAACATCTATTAGTCATTTATCTATGGAGATGAGTCAATATATAATAAAAATAAAAAAATTTCCACTTTTCACAGTATATTCACAAACACAACACAAGCGTATAATATCATATTGTAAATATATAATAAATATGAGTGTGTAATAAAATATATTTTACCGAATATTAATCAAATATCAAGTAATCGAATGAGATCGTGTTTATATCCATTTTCATTAGAAAAACTTCACCCACCTATTAATAATATCCTCGCGAATACATAATAAAAAGTACTACATTTTTTATTTTCTTTCCAAAATTATTCATTATTTGTATTTGTATTTCATGTTTCGCAGTATTTTAATGTGAGATTTTAAATGTGAGATGTCGCTTTAACAAAGCGAGTTATGAGAATGTGGTAGGGATGGGAATAGTATACTATCACAGGATGAAAAATATTACGCTTAGAGGACATTGTATTTTTTTAACACTAGAGGAACTGCTTAACTAAAACACATCAGTGTGATAATTACTTATTTTTTTTTCAGACTGTAGGCGCAACACAACCTAAAGCGATAAGAATGGCAGATTCTCCGGTGCTGGAGAACGAAGACAAGACAGAGATTCTGGACGAACCACTCTTCAATACCCTCGACATTATACTCCTTAGTGCTCTCTTATTAGCTGCACTATGGTGGTTAATGCGCCGCAATAAACAAGAGGAATACACGCCTGTTACGAAATCCTATTCTATTCAGTAATAATAAATTATTATTATTATTATTAACATTACATATTATTATAAGTATGATCATAAAATTAAAACGGAGAAAGATATTCTTTGTAAAATTAATCTTTATAAGGCTATCTGCATGATCGAAATTTATTGTTTTCATAGATAATTATACTTATCTTTATGTACTTATCTGCATCTTAAAAAAATATTCTATCTTTAGACATTTAAGAAGTACGATTTGTAAATTTTTATCCCCAAGATATTAAAGTATTAGTAAAATTATTAGCACTATGAATAATACGTCAATGTATACGTTATAACGATATTTTAAACATGTTTTGCTTAAAATGATATTTTTCAAATTAACAATATAGTTTCTTTCGAAATTTCGAATGCTAAGTTCATACTGCTATCTGCGAAAAATTTGTAAACTATGTGTCAACAGTGAACAGTATGCAACAAACTCATCAGTAAACAGCAAAAATTGTTTGCTAAAAAGACAGTACCTCAAAGGAATTATTTGCAAACTCAAAGTTTATAACTGTTTATGTTTTGCTTACAACCTGTTCACAAATTTAAGTCTAAATACAGTTATTTATGTTTCAAAACAGTTTACGAACCATTAGCAAATAATTCTGATCAGTGTGAATCTAGCATGACTAATTGTATACAATTCTTTTGTATACATAAAAAATAAATATTTAAATACCGTTTGAATAAGAATTAAGTTAATATTTGGAATAGTTTTCTATCTTAGAATTTTTTAAATTCAAAAAATTATTGCTGAAACTAAACTATACATCACATTCCAAAATATATATAAGACTAAATTATGCTAAGACTTACAACAAATTTTTGTTAAAGACCAACGCTGTTTCCTGCGGTACAAGCATCAGAAAATTCATTCATAAAAAAATTAAAGACTTCTGGAAGAAGTTTGGTAGTATTTTATGGTAGTCAAACTGGGACTGCTGAAGAATTTGCTGGTAGACTGGCCAAAGAAGGTATCCGGTACAAAATGAAAGGAATGGTAGCTGATCCTGAAGAATGTGATATGGTATAAACTTAGTCATATAAAAAACAAAGTAGTGGTTTTAGTTACCATTTCATTTAAAAAGTAGCAATTTTTTTTTAAACTGTTTTTATTAAAATTGATTAATTCCATTGATACGTAATAAAATAGTATTAATAAATTCTGAAGATAATTAGTTAATAGAATATGATACAAATACATCACAGAGGAATTTTTTTTTGTTTTGTTATTTTATTCATTTATACAAGGTGGATTTAATAACATATTATAAGTTATTTTCTTCAAGATCACTGTAGATATCAGCCTTAACATTTTTTTAAATGAAATAGAAAACAGACTAGACATTTCATATATAACACATCACATTCTTAGAGCAGCAACTTGAAGAATAAAGGGAACTATCTTTATTTCTTTAAATAGTATAATTTGTGAATCTTTCCTTATTCGTATAACCCTTATCAGAGTTAATAATTACAACTGATACCTACATTGATTTTAGAAAAAGCAGCTTATAATACTTTATATAGCTCATCTTGTATATCATAATTTTACATAATTGTAATTTATTACAACAGGAAGAGTTAATACATCTGAAAACAATTCCAAACAGTTTAGCAGTATTCTGTTTAGCTACATATGGAGAAGGTGACCCCACAGACAATGCTATGGAATTTGTTGATTGGTTAAAAAATGGTGATGCTGATTTAAGTGGATTGAACTACGCTGTAAGTACAATTTGTATTCCTTAATTTAAACCTATAAAAGACAATAAAATCTAAAATGTAAAGTTAAAAATTAAGATTTTATCTTATTGATAATATAATAATATAATAAATTTTAATTTATTAAAATGAATATTTGGCACATTTATGAAATGTATGTCTAAAATTTACTACATATACCTCTTTTTTTTAATCATCACTAATAAATTTTATAATAAGTAATAACTAGAAAGCAAAAAAATTAAATATATGAGTAAAATGGTTATTTATTCGTAAAGGAAATGATTAAATCAACGATGTGACCAATAAGTGGTATCAAATTAGTATTAAATAATTATTCATTACTAGAAGAAATGTTTAGTTTTATTTGAATTATTTTTAATTTTCCTAGATTGTACAAATTTATCAATATCAAAATTAATTTTCGTATTAAACAAAGTTAAAATTACTTTATAATAATAATTATTATTTTTAAAAAATGAATAGATTAAATACGATAAAAATCATCAAAGTTAATAAAAATGAGTATTGTTCACATACTCGCGTAAATATATTTAATATGTTGTTAACTTATTGCCCTCTATAGAAATGATTCTAACAGTATAAATGGAAATCAAAATAAAAATTTTAATTACATATATTTCTTACAACTTCTGAGCTTACAGTTTTACAATTTTAGAATGGTATACACGCACTAATAGTTAACCTCAAAAATATTTTTAATATACATTTTTAATTACAATAAAAATTGTAAATGAAGTATTATATAATATAATTCGAAAATATAAGAATTTTAGCAAATTAGATACAAAATAAAATTTATTTTCATATTATTAGATGGCACTGTATGTCATTTTATATGGATAACAAACTAGGTTTAGTACAAAAATGCAACCTCATTACATTGTTCGTGCGTATTAGACTTTAACCTTTTCTTTTTATTTTTTTAATTTGTGAGATTATAAATGATATAATTAGTTAACCTTAAAAAGAGAACATTTTCACTTATGTCACATATATGTAACAGTAATAATAGAAATTATGAATATTATATAAGCAATTCATAACAGTCAGACATATGTACTTATGTGCAATTGTATAACAATTACTAATGCATGACATTAGTGTTTTACCGTGAAAAATAATTAGTTATGGTGGCTATTACGTTTATAATAATAGCAATATTTCTAGTAAATTTTAAAATATTTATGAAAAAATATGTTAACAATGAATGTAAAATTTATTGATAAACTCTTGCGTGTAATAATTAGGAATTATAGATACGAAAGCGCTACCCAACGGCGTTTTACAACGTTACTTTTAGCGCCAATATATGAGGTATATGTAACTAAAATTTATAAATTTTTATTGATTATACCCTTAAAATTAATTTTTTAAATACTTTATTTAAAAATCTATGAATTTAATATATTTTATGATATATTATGCAGGAAGGTTAATGTATCGGACTTATTAAATATGATAGTTAATTTAATTAAATACCTTGAAAATCTTTTATAACATTGAAATTGCTATATATAATGTATAAAGTAGAAAAACATTGTTTGTTATTTATAATCTTTTTCATTTTATTTTACAGGTATTTGGTCTTGGAAATAAAACATATGAACATTATAATGAGGTAGCTATAGATGTTGATCGTAGATTAGAACAACTTGGTGCTACTCGTGTCTTTGAACTTGGATTGGGAGATGATGATGCTAAGTAAGTTTATAGAATCTCTATTGTATTAAATGCTTATAAAAAGAATTTAGTATCATAAATGTAGATGGTACTTATACATATTTATACAAAATATCCTTTAAAGTATACATGTACTCTATGCTTTGCTATTTTATGAAATAAGATACTTGTGATTATAGTATAGAAGATGATTTTATCACATGGAAGGATAAATTTTGGCCAACAGTTTGTGACTACTTTGGTATTGAAGGTGCAGGTGAAGATGTTAGTATAAGACAATACAAACTAACTGAGCACATTGATTTACAAACTGAACGCATTTATACTGGAGAGATAGCTCGTCTTCACTCATTTAAGAATCAGAGAGCGTATGTTTCATTTATGTTCATATAAATACATAATTAGAGTAATTAAAATATTTACATAAATTATTTATCTATAGACCATTCGATGCAAAAAATCCTTATTTAGCTCCAGTAAAAGTGAATCGTGAACTTCATGGCCCAATTTCGGAAAGGTCATGCATGCATATAGAATTTGACATAGAAGGATCAAAAATGCGATACGAAGCTGGTGATCATTTAGCAGTATATCCTGTAAATAATGCAGAATTAGTAAATAAAATTGGTGAAAAATGTGGTGTAAATTTAGATACTGTGTTCACTCTTACAAATACAGATGGTAAATTAATTAATAATCAACTCTCACCAGTGTCAATTTATCTAATATGAATGTTTTTAATCTGAATTATCTTGTATATTGCAGAGGAATCTACAAAAAAACATCCATTCCCTTGCCCATGTTCTTACAGAACTGCTTTGACGCATTATTTAGATATTACTAGTAATCCACGCACTCATATTCTTAAAGAATTAGCAGAATATTGCAATGATCCAAGTGATAAAGAAAAATTGAAGTTAATGGCATTAACTAGTGCAGAAGGTAAAGCTGCTTATCAACAATGGATAGTTCAAGAAAATAGAAATATTGTACACATCTTAGAAGACATTCCCAGCTTAAAACCAGCATTGGATCATCTTTGTGAACTTTTACCAAGATTACAATGTCGATATTATTCAATTTCTTCATCTCCCAAGGTATGTTGGAGTTATTTCACAATAGATAATTTGTTATGATACTTAAATAACAAGAGTAAATTAACTTAATTTTAATGAGTAAAAACTATATTATGTTTTAACCTTAATTATATAACTAATAATATTTAAATTCAGAATTTAAACTTAAATTTAAAATAATATAAATAATTATAACCTTAAATATTTATATATAACAATAATAATTAAATTTATACGATATTATTTTTTTAAATCTTTACTATTATAATTAAATGAGATTTTTAGTTTTGAAATAATTATTTTTATTAATTTTTAGTTATATCCAACATCGATTCATATTACTGCAGTTGTAATAGAATACAAAACACCTACTGGTAGAATTAACAAAGGTGTAACTACTAGTTGGTTAAAAGAAAAACATCCTTCAGATCCACCATGTTACGTCCCCATTTTCGTGCGAAAATCTCAATTCCGTTTACCAACTCGAATGTCGACTCCCATTGTCATGATTGGCCCAGGCACTGGTATAGCACCATTTAGGGGATTCATACAAGAACGTGATCTTGCAAGGAAAGAAGGTAAGTAACAACATTTAAAGTTAAAAATTACTACTTTTATATATCATATCATCTTTTATACAAATTTATTTATACAAAATTGAGAATAAATTAAATAAATCTATTATTGATTAAAAGAAGTCAACCTATCTTGTTTCAGGAAAAGAAGTAGGAAATACAATTTTGTATTTTGGATGTAGGAAACGAGATGAAGATTATCTTTATAAAGAAGATCTCGAAGAATATGTAAAAAGCGGTACATTAGTATTACATACTGCATTTAGTAGAGAACAGTCTCAGAAAGTATATGTTACACATTTATTAGAAAAGAATAAAGACGAGTTATGGAGTGTTATTGGTGAACAAAATGGGCATATTTATGTGTGTGGGTTAGTATGAAATCATATAGAATTATTATTAGATTGAATTCTGAATAATTTTTAATTTTATAATTAAGCTGTAATTTTGCAGTTTTTATGTTTATTTTTCATATTTACCAGATATTTTAATGTATAAAATATTTCATTTTTATTTTCTTCTGGAATTGGTCCTCTATGATCTTTCCTTTGAATTCTTATATATAAAACATTTCAGCTATAATTTGATTAGAATTCAACAACTCATAAATATTTGTATTATTCCACCAAATACGAAATAGAGTATTGCAGTTCGTTTGTATGAAAATTTGATTTAAAATGTGAAAGTCGTATAATTTTAGAGACTTTTATGAATAATATATCAAGATACTAAGGAATTTGGCTTTATTTCATATTGTCAGAACATATAATCTCCATACTTTCAATTTACTATCACTTGAATAATATCTATAGAAATAACGAAGTATTATTGATTGTGAAATCACTTATTAAAAATCTAAATTGGAAATTACTTTGTGTTTTAACCTAAGTTATATTACATTACGTATTGTATTGATAAATTACATAATATAGTAACAAAATATATATATTTTTTCTTTTAGTGATGCAAAAAATATGGCACGTGATGTACACAATATCTTATTAAAAGTTGTAATGGAGAAAGGAAAAATGTCGGAATTAGATGCTGCAAATTATGTAAAGAAAATGGATTCACAAAAACGTTACTCAAGTGACGTATGGAGTTGAATGACATTATTTAACTTAATTTTATAAATATTTATAAGTTAAATTGTTTATGCAAATTTTTTAAAAATGTGCCTTTATGAAAAAGGCTAACGGTAATCATCTTCGTACAGTTGTACGATATGCATGTAATCGTTTAAAATACTAATTAATAATTATAGACACCAGCAAAATCATACAAGCACAAATTATATTTATTATACATAAGTAGTTAATGAATTTTGTATAAAAACTCTTTCTTTCTATATTACGATGTTCAGAGTTGACAGTGTTAAAGTTTTTATGGGAATCAATATAGTGCAATAATGAATTTAAAGTATATTTTTACATTTGACAAATATGCATAATACCTGTATAATACTATAAAATAAATATTGTTTGGTACAAGTTATATGAGATAATAAACCAAACTTAATATTGTAAAATAATAATGATACTTTTTATAATTTCAATAAGCATTACAATGATTTTATTTAAAGTAAATAAAAGAAAATGAAAAATGGTTAGTTATCATGATTAAGAAGATATAACCTTTGTATTTCTGAAATGATTATGTAAAAAATTATGTATAAGAATATTTTTCCTATGTTGAAATGGAAACAATAATAAATACAATGTCAAAAATTTAAAAATATAAATATTTCTTACAAATAAACTATTGTTGCTTCGTTCTTTACACCACGGTAGAATATCAAATGCATATAATAAAAATTTCTATTTTAGTTCTATATTTCTACTTTAATTTTAGTAGATGCAATATTATTATACACATATACACATCTTGATACTATTAAACATATATTGTACTATATAAAACAAGCTTTTCATGATAAATAAGACAATTATATTATTTAAAAATAAGGTAATTTATAAATCAACACATAATAAATTTATATTAAAGTTTTATCGTTTATAAAGTATTTATAAACCTGTCTGGAACTTATCTCAAATGAGTTAATGAATTTGAATTCTATTACAAAAATTATCTTAAATTGAGTGAGTTAATACTTATAGTGTACTAAGATAGCCAATATATTCAGATATACATATATAGATATATATAATCAATATTTCAATTGTTTGTTGGCACATTAATAAAGATGTTCTTAAATATTTCACAAAATTATTAAGAATAAAATTTGAAAATTGTGCAAATTTTTATAATATAATAGTGCAAATTAGAAAAAAGAATGCATTGTTTGTTATATTTTCATGAAAAAATATTTAAATATAATTTTGTACCTAAAACATTAAATTTTTTTATTTATGCATCAATTAAATAATTTTATATTTTTTTTTCATCTTATAAACATAAAAAAGATTTTTTTTAGTTTTGTAAGAGTAATGTATTGTCAAAATAAATATCTCAATGTTGAAATATTTTGTAATTGCAATATAACCTTATGTTCATTATAAAAATATTGTATCGGATTTTCAAAAATGTAATATTCAACGATTTTAAGTATAAAATGATAATACAAAAATTTTGAATTATGTTTGAATTTTCTCAATTTAACAGATAAACATTAATTTCAAAGTAGAAATTAAGAATTTAACATAATTATTTGATCATATTATACATTATACAAGGTTTATACATTTATATCTAACTTCAATTTTTTTATTAATAAATAAACAATAATTTTAAAAGAAGGTAAAAAAATGTTATTAAAACTTTAGATAGGACTACAAAATGAATTGTAAAATCTATTTGCTTTTTTATTATTCAAAAGTAAATTACTTTTAAATGAAATAAAATCATTTCTAATAATAAATTGCTAATTGTTTTTCATAAAAATTTATTATTCTATCACTTCTCGTTTATAATAATAAGCATAAATTTCAACATAGTATACACACCAGAAGCAAGATCAAGGCGTAATCAAAAGAATAATAATTGGTTATACAAAAATTGCCCACCAGTACCTCCTGACGAAGAAAAATCACCAGTCTGCCAAAAATACAGAACCCGTTTCGCAAGAGAAAATCTCATTTTGCAGGAAATATAGTACAAGTAGACAACAATAATAGATAAACTCTATGCTGAAACATAATCTAAAGGGCAGCAAATTAATTCAAAACATCCTAAAGTACTTAAAACACCAAACTATTCAACAAAATAGATTTCTATTTTCGGATTGCTAAATTGTTACTTAAATAATTGATATTAAAAAACAAAGTATAAATTTCAAAAACAATGTTATTAAAATTTATAAAATTTGTAATTATAAATGTCATATTTCTCATATGCATTGATCGTATTAATTAATTGATTAATTGATCGTAAAATATGCATTCTAATACATAAACTTTTTAAATTGAAAAAGTTTATAAATATTTTTATATTACAAAAATATTAATCACTTATACAAAAAATAAAATGTTTAAAAGTTTCCAATGAAAATTAAATTTTTTTTTCGTATATAAAGGTTTCATTTCGCATCAACATCGGAGTCATTAGAAACGCAAATCGTTAATTATAGTCTGTGTTTATATGGATTCGTAGGGTTGTTTATTATTTTCAATAAACATCGGAATATTCAATGTACTTTTTTGGGGGGTCTTCGTATTCTTTAGAAAAGGATAGTAAATGTTTAAGAGCTAATAACACTGGCATTTTCCACAATAGGGAGAAAAAGAATTTGTTAAAAGGTATGCATGGGTAACTCTTATATGGCCAATCTGGATCATATTTAAGATAATTTGATTTTTTCTGTTATCAGGTATGTTTACAACGTTATCAAAAGTCATCAGAACTGTAACTGAGACTCACTTAGAGAAAGTAGGTAGAAAAAATAAAAATTAAACGCATTGAACGACTCAATGACATTAAAGTTCTAGCTTACAAAAATTGGATAGCTGACCAACGTATCTAGTGAAATCATATAATTCCTTAGTAAAGTCTATCATCGATTACAGATGTATTGTATACAGTTCAGCGAAAAACTTTAAAAATTCTTGATCCAGTTTATTAAGATGGCTCTAAGACTATGTTCGGGAGCATTCCGTTCCAGTTTGATAAAGAGTATTTTCTATGTCACCTTAATCTTAGATGTGGAACTGCAATTGTATCCACACCCAATAACCTAGCCTACAAAAATATCTACCACATCGTCTAACCGTTAAATATGCCCAGAAACTCAAGTTCCCGCATCTTTTCCAACTCAGAATACGTAAATATTGCACAGAGATACAAATCTATTTCCCTACCTTTATATCATGAAGATGTTTTAATTCACTTACTGTAGTGTACATTAGCCAGAAATTAATATTTAGTACACTACACCAGAAAGTTCAAACTTATTGAGTATAGACACGACTTCCAACGCTTTACGATGAGCACACATCATTAATCCATATATACACGAATGTATCGGAGACCGAACAAATATTAGTTTTGCAGTAGTTACGCCCAATCGTACCTATAAATTTAATATAGGACAAACCTCTAATATTTTTACGGGTAAATGCTGTATTATCCTAGAAATCGTTAAAAATGAATAATATAAGAACGTTGCTCTATACAGTAACTCTAAACCTGCGATATTAACGATCTAATGGTGTATCAACAACAATCCTATTATAAGAGATATATTACAATTATACACTGATCTCTCTATAGCTCCGTTTTAGTCTTAAATGCTGGTAAAAGATATGTAAAATGAGAAACACTCACATAATAATAAATATTCATGAATTAAAAGAGGAACAACAAATACCTAATACAAAAAGTGTAAAAACCCTTAACAGAGTTAACATGAAATAAGCTATAATTAAAAAAAAGACTGATCTCTCTAACAATGGGGAGAATCCTATTACATCAAGGAATTTCGGGTAACGATGATGCGGTCAAGGCAGCCAAAGAACCACTTACCCCCCTTCCCCATCTAATAATTTTCTAAATTAAATTTTTGTTAATATTGATTGATTAATTAGACTTCATTTGTTATCAACATAATTTTTTATAATATATTATATATCATTACAAAAAAACATTTTTCTGTTTATAGTGATATTCATAAAAATTATAGACACTAATTTCACATATATGACATTTTTAATTTGTGAAATATTTGTTGAAAATATTCGTAAACATTTCTTACTTATTCACATATATAAGAGTTTAATGTTTAAATATTCGAATTTAGTAATGTGAGTAGTATATTGATATGAAACAATAAAACGTATTTACATAAAGAAGCTGTAGATACAAAAATACTTTTACACATACCTTCTAAAAATAGAATTTTCACTTTTTTTAAAAATAATGTATTATTTATTATCGATTTATTTTAGAATTATTTTTTAAATTTATATATTACAATTATGTATTAATAAAATTGTAAGAATATTAATATCATCAGTACTTAATAGGTATAAAATGTTAATTGCACATGAATGTAATTATTTATAGTAGTCTTTTCTTAATTTATTGTATATTTTTAAATATTTATAATAAAGATTACTAAGTATAAAAATACATCATAGATTTTCTAATTTCTTAATGTTAGATTTTGTAATTGTAAGAGATACATTGGGAATTATCAACCCATCATCAAGGTCTTGAAAATTTTCGGAAATATTTGTATTACTTGTATTGGTTTCACTACTATTAGAATTAGAATTTTGTAATTTTGGCGTTGAAGTTCTACCCTTTAGGAGAACTGCTTGTTCTGTACTTTTACTAGCTTCTTTAATAGATATCGAAGACACGTCACTGAAATCTGGTAATCCAAAGTTACTATCAAATTGTTTCTTAACAGGTGATATTATTCTCTTGGCGGTGTTTAATGGAGTTACGTCAGAATTTGATGATGAACTTAAAGCACTCGCTTCGCGTGTTTTTTTTAACGTTGTTGCAGCCCAACCTAGACCAAGTTTTTTAAGAGCAGTTTCCATTCTTTCCGGAGATGACGCGTCTTTTAATATAGTAGAAGATGGGGTACTTGCTATTTGCGAAACTCCCGATAACTCAGAGAAACTATTTGAACTTGTGGATGTTATTTTATACTTATTATCTTTATATTCCTTATTTGGATCACTGTTTGTAGAATAGGAAGGTGGCAATTTTTCCGTCTGTAACGATTCTTGATTAACTGTATCACATTGTAATTTTTTATCGCTTATCTCTTGAACAATATCCTTATTCTTCTGGTCTTTACTTCTCATACTTTGATTTCCTATATTGTTAGATGCTTTAGGTAAATCAAGAAATATCAAGGTTTCTTTTACATTTTGTGTAGATACTACTGAAGAATGCTTTATAATTGGAGAATTACATAACTTTTCTGAACATTGATTATGTAACTTAAGCGAAGAGGTATTATGTTCTGATGGTTTTACTATAGCAGTTGATTTCATCATTTGAGTTTCTGTAGTCGTTTTTGTTGATAAAGGGCTTTTGATGTTATTTTGACTTTTATTCACAGTATCTGGTGTATCAAATTCAATTATCGTTGACAATTCATGACCTGATTCAATTTCGGCTCTAAAAAGTTATTATACGTAGATATATATAGGTAAGAGATATATAACTAAATTAAATTATAAAAATACATAAAATAAAGTAGAATTTCACCTATATGGTCCACTAAGCAAACTCACTGGTGGTTTGCTTCTTCCATTGTTATGTACAGCATTATCTGTTGTTTTTGATATTTTCGGTATGTCATTGAGTAATGGAACAAAATCCTTAGTCTTTCTCAACTAAAATAGTATAACAATTAATAAAATTTTTTTTAAATAATTATATTCAGGATATTTTTCAAAATGTAATACTAGCAAATAGAAAATCATGAAAAACTAAATTGGAGAAAATTGATTTTGAAAATTTACTGAATATCTGTGTACTTCAAAAAGAAAAGTTTAGTCATAAAAATTTTTTTTATATTCAGTTTACTTTGTTATGAAGACTCAAATTCTGTTCATTAATAATACATTTAAATTATATTAATATTATTTTTAGTAATTTCAAAGCAATACATTACCTCTTTATTAGAATATTTTCTTATAGATGTATCATTTTTTTGTATTTTAGAAACATTTTTAAAATCATTATCTTCTGTTGAAGTTTGAATTGAATGCTTTACAGTTGAATTATACATTTCTTTCTGCGTTATTAAACTGTTATTAAAACCTTTACTTTGTTCCAAAATTTCTTTTGATAATTTTTCTATTATTTCTTCTTCATACTGTTTTGATGCCAGCCAAGTATCACGTTTTGGCGTTGACGTTGACATTTGAGATGATTTATGGACCTTGAATCTATTCAACTGAATGTTCACTTTTTACTCTTTCCTCATTTATGATTTTTGGCTTAACTTTTGCTTTTTCTAATTCTACTTTTTGTTCAACAGGATGAATTGTATTGTCACCATTTGTTGAAGTTCCCATTTCTTTACTTTGTTTGGTTTCCTCTTTAATAACTGGTTTATTTTTAATAATTTTTTGAGATTCGAATAACGTTTTTGCAAGTTGATTATGAATTGCTTCTATATTTTCTACGAGTTTATGAACACTTTGTAAATCAGTAGTCATTTGTGGTGGCGGTAACTGCATCAAACTGGTTTCGTCGTTTGGATCTATCATGGAAAGTTCCATACCTAAAAAGAATTATATCTATATACAATTAGATTCTAAATTTAAGAATATAAAAATTCTCAAAATCTTAAATATTCGAAACACATTCGAAACGAACTTATTAAAAATGTTCACATTATAATTCATGTATTATTTTTCAATAGTTAATTATAATAATAATTTTTCATTAATTTTATAATATATAAGATATAAAATATTTCAACAGAAAAATTTCAGTTTCCAATCAAATTAAACAAAGTTTAGACTTAAATACATCTGGAATACTTGAAATCTTATAAATTTTAATAGTGAAGTATTTGTAGGATTCGTACCCAACTGAAAAATAATTTTTGACCCTAAAATTTTAGATCCTAATTATTAGTATTCAATGAAAGCAATGTACCTTTTTGTTCATTTCGAACTTTTTCAATAAGATTTGTTAAAGAAATTATTCTTTCTGCACACGTGGTTTGGAGATCTTCATACTTTTGTAATATTTGAGGACAATTTTTTAATGCGTAATTACGAATTTCATCAAATTTAGCATGTACTTGCCTACATTCTGGATTATTACATAAACAAGAGCCCAATGAAACTGGAACCTTTGAATATATATTGTTCATACTTTTTAATGATAAATGTTCATTTTGTTGATATTCAGATGAATCTGTTGTTGAATAATCATTTTTAGTAGACGATAATGTATTATTATCATTCGTCTGAGAATCTGTGGATGAATATCTAAGCAATTTTTTTATTTTATCTGGATGAGGTATATTTGAAGGCATCCTCATGGTACGTGGCGATGGAGTTTCCGGTGTTGAGACTGGACTAATATCTCTCTTTAAAAGTCTCATGCTTTCATTTGTTGAAGAATCTAACATTTCAAAAATGGAGATATTATTATTTATAGCTTTAATTATATCCTTGGGTTTTATTGGTGGTGGACTAGCAAAAGATGTTGATGTATCCGAAATGTCTTTTATTTTAATTCTTTTTGATTTGGATTGAATCCACTGTGGTTTAATCATATTTTGTTCTTCACTACCTGCTGAATAAATTTGGGTACTTTGTGTACTTACATCTACAGCAACTTCTGTAACCTTGGGTGATTTTGCTTTAATATTAATACCATTTTTATCCACATACATTTTAACCCTTTTACTAGGTACATCTTCTGTACTTGGGCACTTTTTTGGACTACTGTATTGAGATTTCAATAAAGATTTTGAAAATTTCTTTACAGGTGATGAAATTTTATTTATACGAGTTGAACATGATTTGTGAAATACTTTTGGTTGAGTTTGCTTCAACGTTTTCATACTATATCTTTTTTTCTTGTGCATTATTTTTGGACTTGGTTTATCAACATCAGTAACTGCTTTTATTGTATCAGAACTTGTTGATTGGCTACTGTCTACTTCAGGTCTAATAATCGTAATTTGTGGCTCAATTGGGTAATGTTTGGAAATTGTTTCAATTTTATCATTAACAAAAGGAGATTCATTTTCCTTCTGTGGTATTAATTCTACTTGGGTACCTTTATCTTGAACTACATTATTTTTATCTCCTGTTGTTGTTTGTATAGCAATTTCTACTTTTTTTACTGATAAGTCATCTTTTTGTTCTGTTTTATCCTTCCTATCCTTTTCATCATAAGATGCATTTATTACTTTGATTTCTGGTGATAAAGATTTCTGTATACATATATCTTGAGCAGTTGGTCGAGTTTGAACTGATTTATCTCTTTCAAATAGAGACTTTGTAGATGCATTAAAAATATCATTTGGTAAATCTGCTCCAAATTCTTGTAATAAAAGTCGCTTTTGTCTTTCAACCTTTTTTAGCATATCTAATATTTGTTCTTCACGCGATATTTCACTTTCTTTAGATTTACTTTGTGAAATTTTATTCATTTCTGCTTTTTGACTGATACACGGGTCATCCCAATCAATATATACGTTTTTGTTGTGTTCTTTTGGTGTAAGACTAATTTGTCTTTCTATGGGATAAGATGTACATTGTTCTAAAGATTCGTCATTTAATAAAGTTTTTAACGCACGATTTAGTTTTTTTTTATGTTGATCCCTTAAGAGCTTTCTTCGTTCTTCCTGTATATATACATTTTTCTGAATAAAATGAACTTTAATTAATACAAAATTTATACTAAAAGTGAAATAGTATATATTATATAGTATATATTAAAAGTAAGCTATATACCGAATAACGTTCAATTTGACTAGCCTTTAATTTACGTTCTTCACTCGCAAGTTGATCTAGAGTTTGCATAAGTGTCTGATAATCTCGACGTACTTTTTCTCTTAACGCTGCATCTTCTCCGCGTATTTTTGTGTTATATTTTCGATTTTCCAATAAATGCGTTTCAATATTTTGTGTCCGTTCAATTTCTTGGGCTAAGTCCATTGCACTTGGCTGTGAATACAAATTTTAAATTAATAAACATTTTTTTTGTGCCATGTGTTTATTCCGCTTAAAAAACCTAATATAGTCTTAACTTTGTTTAGATTTAAAAATGTATCTCAGAAATGACTTATATTATGTAATAACAAAATTTTTATTAACAATTTCCTTTGTCATATAATCATAAAAGATTAAAATATAATTTAATTTATATAATATAATTTAATAATATTTATTATCATTATTATTATTATTACAAACCTCATTCCATATATGTATTTTTTCAACTACACCGACTGGTTGATCATATATATTATGCTGATGCTTATTATGATCATATAACTGCACTCTATCAGTAGCTGGACATTTAACATATTTTGTTGCTTTCATTTCTTTATTTATATATTGTTCACCACTGTCAGAAAAATATGATGAATCATCACTAAATAAATTAGAACTATCAGTTTTAGTAGACTCTGAAGTTGTTTGTATATAGTCATCTGGATTATACCTTTAATACAGAAAATATTTCTTAACAATCAGTTTTTTATTCAATTTAATTTTATGATTTCATACCTTGCCGTTTTATCTACTTTTGTTAGAATATTTGTAACTTCTTTTTTGGAGTTCTTATTGTTAAATACAGATTCAATCATATACGGGGTTGGTTTAGATGATGATTCTATAATTGAATTAGGCGTAGGTTGTACTTCCAAAATTGAAGAATCATTCTCTGGATTGGCTTCTAATGTTTTTGTTTTTAACTTTTGAGCTGGAGAACAGGTTTTAAAATCATTTCCTACAATCTGCAAAAGATCATACACAGTACAAATTTATACTATTAATTTAATGTTACAATTATATGAAAATAATATACTTTTATATAAGTTTTTGTAATTTTTCCAGGTGATTTTTTAGAAAGTAATTTTTTTGTTTTTTTTTTAGTAAGTTTCTCTAACTTATTTTCATCATCAGTGTCATTTTGAAGGGAGATACATACAGTGTCTGCTTCAGGTACTGAGTGTTTAGAAAGATTTACTACCATTGTAGATCTGAGATTTTCCATTTCTCTTACTTGTTGTAATCGTTCTTGATGTTGCTGCTGCATATTCTCCTTCTACATATATTTTATTTAATCTTTCATAAATTTTATTTTAATACAATATATTGACATCAATAATTATTTTTTACAATGTAATGAAACATATTAGGATTAAGTATCTTACCTGTTGAGTACCTCTAATTTGCTTCATTGCCTCCTTTCCTCTTTTTAATACTGCTAATTTATTCTTTCTTTGTTTTTCTTCAATTAATGCATCATGGTCAGGTTCTAAACTAGCAGATATGTGTGCATGACCAATATCTGCCATGTCCTCTTGATATTTCTGTTGAACTTCCATGATTTTTCCATTATATATTTGTTTCAAACTTAACTTGTCATTATTTTTAAGCTTTTTAAGTTCTTCTTTAGTTATGTACTTTGTACGCTTTAAAAGTTTATCTGATATTTCTTTCGATTGTTGTCGCACCTGTGTAAATTCCTTAAGTGATTCTTCTGATTTTTTTTATTATTAATCTCGTCATCAACTGCATTAATACTTTATCTACTTTTAATGCAATAAAATAATTACTATAATATTATAATAATATTTGATACAAAGTACATTTAAGAATTTATGTTTATATTAATTATAAACTTGTCAAGTTATAGTATCAAATTACTATATGTTAAAAAACAACATAAATTATAAAATATATTAGAAATAAATAATACAGAAATAAAAATTGCTTCTTTATAATTTTTATGTTTTTTATCTTATGTCCCCATTTCTTTGCAAATTTAAAAATTTTTAAATAATTTATATTATTTATACCTGCTCCAAACGTAACCTTCGTCGACGGTCACGCTCATTTTTCTTAATTTGATCTAAATCAGACAATACCATTCTTCCTCTGCGTATATTTAAATAATTTCCATTAACTGTAACATTAATGGACATATTTTACTCAGATAAGATTATCTGTCATCCAAATAAATCTAGAATAAAATGCTCCTAACTCAAATTTAAAATAATACGAACGGCCATTCTCACATTCGACCAATCAACGGAACATTGTCAGTGGTTTCATAACTGCATATTTATAGTATCGTTAGAGATTTCAATAGCATTGAAGTACATATAATTCAAACATACCTAAATGTTTAAAAATCATGAATAATTTTAAATGCAATATGTTTTATAGACAAATTATGAAATTTAAGCAGATTATATTTATAATAAATATATAAAATTAATAAAGTATTGTAGTTTATTTTAAAACACTAAACACATTAATTTCGTATATGTTGTAAAAATATCATATATCTATGTAAGTAATCCTAAAATATATTAATAAATAGGAAAAGAATCGGTTTAATTTTGTTAATTTACTATTTTTAATACGTGTATAAATTAGTTCGGTATGTAAATATAAGAAGTCATTCAAATTAATTGAAAATCTTATATTTTCCATATTTACTTAATAAATGTTTAAAATTATATAAATATTATTAAAATGCTATAAAAAAAATTGCAAAAAAAAAAGAATAAAAATTTGCGATAATATATATTAAAATTCATTGCTAATATTAAAACATTGACACATTATAAATATGAATACCAAAATTTAAATAGCATATACACGTAATATGTATGAATTACACGCATATGTAAAAATATAAAATTTTGGATATCATAGAATATAGTGGAATTAATGGTTTTTAATATATTTTATTATTGTTTGCTACATAATACAAATTTTATTTTACATCAAATTAGAAAGTAATTAAATATCTTATTAAATTCTTAAATTAAAGAAACATCAATTTACATAGGAGAGTAAATATATTATATTTTATATGATATTATAATATTTAAAATCTAAAATCATAATATAAATTGCTTTTAGTACTATAATAGACTATAAATTTAATTAAATAATTTACTATCTATAGCATATATGTATATAAATAAAATAACGTATTAGCGTTAATTATGTAAAATTATAAGTGTATTAATTTTTGTGAATATGTATATAATTTTATATCTTACATATATATACAGATAAGCGCTTTAGTGTATTACAATTATTTTTGATTCACAACATATATCTAGGGAATATAATTTTTTTAATAAAGATTGGTCTAGAGAAGTTACTAAAGCGTCAGCCTTGTATCTTGTACAGTCGGTATTGTTACAAACAAGCAATATTTAGTGGAGACTACGTACACGCTTGAGATATACACTTTATCATTCAAGTATCACATATCCTCTGCGGTTCTTAGTGATGAATTCATTCAGGTGATTAATGTTTGCCTAAACAAACCATAAATCAACTCCAAAAATATTCGCTACAGTAAAAGTTTTCGTTTCATTTATATCGAAGGTGATGAAGGCAAAGTGAAACAATCAAAGAGGCAAGGAAAGATATCTATATTACCTAAAACTTCTATCAATGTGTAGTGCACAATTGTATATTATAGAACTTCCAAAACTTTGTAATCACGTTTAAAATTATTAACTCCAAATTTGTTTAACTGATACTGCGATGATTTGTAATAAACTCATTGCGTTTATACTTACTCAGGAAATTTAATAATTATAAAAATGTGCGTTATTAAAAAATGTTCATGAAATATTTTAAACAATGATTGTAATTAAATTACAAAACGCAATTTTAGCGACATATGGTAAGTACTCAACAATTTATACAATTTAATTTAAATAGTATAAAAGTAAATACATATTTTGATAAAACAATGTTTATCAACTTTTAATAAGAACTATTTCTGTAATAGTCTTAAACATGTAATATTTAACAAATGACATTTGAAATTTTAATTCCTGTGTAATGTGAATCACTACACAGAAAATAATGAATTGGCATTGGTTATAAGTCAAAATTTTGATTTTCATGAAAGCTATGAATAATCCATTTTGGAGTAATACACAAATGGAGTACCTTTTCATTGCAAGTTCAATTGCTCAAAGTTTTTAAGTAATCGCTGTTCCACATACATTTTCTCTTTTTTATATAAAAGAAATAAAATTATTAGAAGAAAAGAGTAAATATGTAACCTCATTAATTATTTTGTGACCTATAATTTATTACATAAACAAAATTTTTAGTAATAAGATACTACAATTAATATTTACACTTATTAATTATGAATATTTGTAATATTGTTCATAATTATTATTATACAATAAAACTAGGATTTAGGAGATAAAAGACTGTAGTAAAACAAATGGTGACATTTATTCATACTGATATATTCACTTTTGATTTCAATTCTTGTAGGTAGTAGAAAACGAATATTTTTGTTATGAAAAATTAGGTAATATAGTTAATGTAATTAGATAGTATTATTGTAATAATATTTTAATAATTTTCATATCCAAAATTATATAGTATATATTAACAATATAACAATATTATTAAATATAATGAACTTTAATTTGTTTAGAATCATATTTATTTCAATGATGTAACATAGTTATAAACATTATAAATTATTTTCTATTCTATCTTTACATACATTTCAGATTAAAAATATACATGGAATCAAAATGGCACGTAGACGTAAAAGTGAAATGAAATCATCCGTAAAGACATCACTTAAGTATGTACCTGTCAGAAAATCTAGTAGACAAATAGCCAAAAAGCAATTAGAAGAAAAGAAGGTAAATGGAGATGTTTTACAAATATCATATTCAAATGACTCAGAAGATAGTAGAAGTACTGCAGAATACCAAAATCAAGTACTTCCAAAAAAGAATCAAAATTCTTTAAGGAAACATAACAAACATAAAAATATTTCTAATAGTAATGTAATTGTAATTAATGAAGAGTGTTCATATTCAACAACATCCCAGTATAAAAAAGATAGTAGTGAAAGTGATAGTCAAGATGGATTAGACATTATAGTCAATCAATCTGATAAACTTAGTCCTGAAGATGTTCAACAAGTAGTTGTTGGTAATCCAAATAAGGATATTATAACTGAATCTGATTCTGCTGAAATTGAAATATGGCCAGAAGATGTAATAGAAGAAACTATAATATGTGAAGAGATGGAAGTTAAAGAAGAAGTTAAAGATAGTAATTACAGTTTGAAACAAGGTAACAATGTAATAGTAAAAGAAGTATTACTTGTAAACAGCCCATCTTTAGAAACGACAAATTTTGTAGGATATACTGTGATACAGAATGAAAATGGTATGGAATCGATGTTAGTAGAATCTGATTCAAGAAATACACCTAATAATGAATGTTACTGCAATACGCAAAGAGATGTGTGTAATTTGCATAAAACTAAAATGGAGAATTCTATGTCAGCCTTATGTATAGATGTGCCAATGACTTCTAATGATAAAAATGACAAATCATCTAATTTAGAGAAATCGTATACTTACAGTAAAAATATAATTAATGCTCAAGGAGACTTATATACCAATAAAGGTACATGTATAAACAGATTGCAAGAATGTTTATCTAATGACAATGTGTTTTGCAAGATAGATAACAAACTAGCAGATATGCAGATTAATGAACCATCAAAAGAAATACAAAAATTAGTTAATGATTTATCTAATATGGAAAGTATAATGTCTCCATTACAAATTGCTGGTAACACACAAAAAGTAATACCAATAAATGTTGATGATGAAAGTAGTTCTTCAATATTGGATAAAATGGAACAATTACATGAATCAAATAATTCTGCTGTGTTGATTGATAATGTGGATAAGAATATTACAGAATTAAATAAATCTGATTCCTGCAATGATAAAGTGGAGTGTACAAATCAGCATTTACTAAAATCAAAAGTTTTATCAGATAAAAGAAATGGAAATCAACGGAAAATGGTAAATTTACAGCAAGTTAACGAGGAACTATATGGTGACAGTGAAATAGATAGCAAAATTGATGGAGAAGATACAAAACTATCCAGTAGCAGTGATAATAGTAATGATACACTCTTATCTATGAGTAACTGTAAATTAATGGAATTTGATACAAAATGTAACAATATTTCAAATGATATTGATAAAAAAGTTGAGTTTAGAAGTAGAAGTGGTAGTACTGATACAACAGGTTCGGAAAGTGGATCAAATAGTTCTGGTGTAAGGAGAAGTAGTAGAATTAGATCAATTGGTTTAATGAAACAAAGGTATGCATTTTAATATATCAGTATGCAATAAAAAAGAATGTAGAATATATTTTACTAAGCGAAATTAAATTTGTCATTTAGTATTGGCATACATAAATAATATCTATATTTACATTGAACTTTAAAAATAATTTTATATGTATTAATTATATCATTAACATATACATAACATACATAGTAAAACATTACATATACATAAGTTTATATATACATATATTTTTTTTAAATTATAGCTTAAATTTTAAATTAAGTTTAACATGTAAACTTAGTGTATCACTTCTTTATTAGCAGTAAAATAAAATATAGTTTATTTAAATATTAAACATTTTTGTTAATATATGATATTCATTGTTTTTAACAGAAAATAATGTATACATCAAATTACATTTGTTTATTAATGTAATTAGTTAAATATTCTAGTAGAATTTTTAGTAGGTATTTAAAAAGTATTTGCTTTTTCATGTGCTATAAAAGATTTTTTGAATATTATATTGTAGATCTCGTGGTCGTGGATTAGTTACAAAACCAAATGTAGATATTACTAAATCAACTGTTCAGCAAGAACGAGAAAAAGTAACTAATAATGTTATTCCAATTGCTCAAGAAATGAAAATAGATAATCCACCTGAACCACAATCAGACAAAGAAATTAACATCAATAAGACAGCAAATACGTTTGAGTCTCTTACATTGCTAGCAACAACGTGTAATACTACAGGCTACGATTCAGATTCCTCTAAACCTGTCAAAGTAAAATCACGCTGGCGAAGATCAAGTGAACTTGAAATGGGTGGATCAAGTACAGGAATTGTATCTACATCAACGGTTGGATCTGTATTTGGAACTATAACTGCAAATATATCTGAATCTGGATCATGCTCAACATTTAAATCTACAACTGGAGTTTTGACAGACATTAATTCTTCAGATTCTACATCTGGATCAGCATCAGTTACAAATTTTCAATCCAACATAGATACAGAGCAAACAAAGGAGGTATCATCAGTTAACAGTAATAGTGTTGTGCAAATTCCCAAAACTGTAGGTGCAAGGATTTCATTACCTATGGTTCCTGAGACAAAAGACAGAGAAATGGAAGAAAGACTAAGTCAGTTTGAATATTTGCGCGAAAATTTATATTTGACAGAAAGGTACATAAATAAAATTATATTTATAAAAGTATGGGATGTACAATAATAATTCTTTTAGATACACAAATAAGGAAACAAAAAGAATGGTATGTGATTGCTTTTTAACAGAGGAAGAAATTGAAAGAGGAGAACTAGGTTGTGGGGAAGATTGTCTAAATAGACTTCTTATGATAGAATGGTATATATTATTTAAGATTTAAGTATATTAATATATTTAAATTAAACATGAAATATATAAAATGAAATATGTGTTATATCTTTTAGTGGACCTCGATGTGTAGTAGATGATCGTTGTACAAATAAAAGATTTCAAAATTGTACATATGCAAAGTGTGAAGTATTTAGAACAGAAAAGAAAGGATTTGGTTTAAGAGCTATGGTTGACTTGTTGGCGTAAGTAGGTTTAAATATAATAAAAATATAATAAAATTATATATAGTAATTTGTTTTATTAAAGAATTTTTTTTTTTTTTAATATATATTAGAGGAGAATTTATAATGGAATATGTAGGTGAAGTAGTTGATCCAAAAGATTTTCGACGCAGAGCAAAAGAATATTCAAAAGATAAAAATAAACATTATTATTTTATGGCATTAAAATCTGATCAAATTATTGACGCTACCATGAAAGGGAATGTTTCCAGATTTATAAATCATAGTTGTGATCCAAATTCTGAAACACAAAAAGTAAGTATATTTAGTAAAAATAAATTCTAACTCATGTAGGGTTTTATCTATATGATTATAATTTGTGCAGTGGACAGTGAATGGTGAATTGAGAATTGGCTTTTTCAATAAAAAATTTATAGCTGCTGGTGAAGAAATTACATTTGATTATCATTTTCAACGTTATGGGTACGTGTTATGGGTAATATCAGTAGTATTTTAATATATTAAACAAAAATGTACTACTCATTTTTATATATTTTATTGCAAATTTAGTAAGGAGGCACAGAAATGTTTTTGTGAAGCACCCAATTGTCGTGGTTGGATTGGAGAAACACCAGAAGAAGAGAAAGAAAAGATAGAGAAGAAAGAAAAGCGTGAGAAAGATATGAAAAAGAAGAAAGGGGAAAAGAAACAAGCTGATTATATGGAAGATGAAGATGTAAGTAATTTGTTTATTTTTGTTTTTGTTAAATTGGCTTTTTAACATCTTTCTAATTTAAAATTTAATTTTGCCATTAAATTTATTTTTTATGTTATTTTAGTTGGAGGATGAAATAGACAAACTATGCTCAGGTGGTTTAAAAAATAGAGCTCATACATTAACATTAAGTAGATTAATGGTACGCAGCAGAGAATTAGAGCACAGAACTCGTCTCTTACGTCTTATACAAAGCGGAGAACAGCCATGTCGAAGATTATTTTTGGATTATCATGGTTTACGTTTGATTTGGAGTTACGTTATGGATATTTCTACAAACGATTCTGACGAAGCACAACAATTTCGACTAGAAGTTTTGAAAACTTTAAACACACTTCCAATTCCTAATAAAACAATGTTAATGGATAGTAAAATTTATAATGTAATAGAAAAATGGTCGAGACGATTATACTTTTCTCTGAGTGGAGATTCTCCAGAAGATGATCAAGGAAAAACAAAATCAAATGGTGACGAATTACAAATAAACTATGACAGTAATGAAAAAAGAAATTCTTATCACTTATCTGATGCAGACAAACAAGAAAACAGTATTGAAATTACTGAAATAAAATCTGACAATACAGATCAAAATCTTATTCCTGAATTAGCTCTGAGTCTTTTAGCTGAGTGGTCAAATTTGAAAGAAGTTTTTCGTATACCAAAAAAAGAAAGGATTGAACAAATGAAAGAACATGAAAGAGAAGCAGGTAATGAGATTAAATCATAATTATAATAATATGCAATCAAATATTTTCATTCAATATTTTATAGAAGGTATATTTTTTTTTAGATCGTGGATATAGAGAAGAATTAGAAAAAGAAGAAAAAAGAGGAACATCATATGATAGGTATAAGTTCATAAATTGATAAATAACTCATAATTAAAGAAATATTTAAAACTCATTAATATTTAAAATATGAGTTTTTTTATATTACAGACATAGATCTGATAGATATGGAAGAAACGAAGTAGAGAAACGTGTCGGAAGACGAGGACGGGAATCTCCAGAATCTGAGCACACTCGAACAAAAGACAAAAGAATAGAAGAAAGGAGTAGCTTAGTTCCAATTCCACGAATGACTAAATACGAGCGTAGACAATTATTCGCTTTAAAAGTAGCTAAAGAAGAAGAAGAACGACAACGTCGTCAACAACAAGAATCATGGCAAGATCATGAAACTAGATGTTTAGCATTAGGTATAGATCCTCATACCACAGCTATGGTAGATCCTCAAACAGGATATCCTGTTTTTTATAATCCATCAATTGGACAATGGCAACAGTATCCTACACAAGGTTTTAATTTACATATATATATTTTACATATTAAGGTGTATAGTTTTCAGATGATGTGAGTCAAAAAATTTTATTATCATAAACAATTTTTATTACTACTATAAAAGGACTACATAACTTACCTACCAATTGAATTACATTTTTCAACAAATTTAATTTGTAAAATTTATGTAGAAAACAGTTACGAAAACTCACTACTAAAAGTTTTTACAATTGACTTACACCATTTAGAAATTAAGCAATTCATTTTCTGTTAAATGTTCTATTATGTATTATATTTTCTGTATATATTATTTAGATACAATTTTATTATAGATGGAGAAATAAATCAACAATGCACTCCAGTGTATGTAGGTGGACCACAAACAGTACCTGGTCATACTCAGTCTGGAATAGTACCGCAAAGTTCACATGTCTTACCACCATCAATTTCTTCTGAAATATCACCTGGTATATCGAATAATATACCTTCAGGTGTACCTCCTGTAGTATATACATTAAGTCAAACGCCTGTATTTAATCAAACCACAACAGCTTATTCACTATTATCCCATTGTCATCAACAATATCCTGAAGGCCAATTGCCACTTTCGAATAATTTAGTTCTTAGTGGAACATCAGTTACAATTCAAACTGAATCTCGTTATGAACATATTGAAAAGCAGTCAGATCAACAATTTCCTACAACATTTAGGCAGGCACAGCTTGAAATACCTCCTATAGATTTACCACCTAAATGGAAAAGTGCTATTGATGCTAGAGGTAGAACATATTATTATCACGTAAAGGAACGAATATCGCAGTGGTTACCTCCTCCGCCAGATCATATTGGTGTTCAACCAGATTCATCATCAACTTCGGAATCTAGCGAAGAATCTAGTTCATCAAATGAAGATGATGAAGAAATTGACGAAGACAATAACGAAGATTCGAAAAATGAGGAGTTAAACTTAAATAATACATTAATAGAAAAATCATTAAATGGTTCTAAGCATAATGTTGCTAAAAAAAGTACCGTACATAATGTAACTGCGAATTTAGGATTTTTTCCGGAAGGCAAGAAAAGGAGGGAGGGTTTGGTTCAAGAAAGAATTATTAGTGTATGTTTGCTTTATGTATTTGTTTTTTGTTACAATTAATGTGTATTCTTGTACTTATTATTATATATTATGTTTGTATATTATATAGCCACGTCGTGAAGAAGATCGTATAGACCATAAAACGCACAAAGGAATAAAGGAAAAGTTACGGCGACAAAAAGAAAGAGCCAAATTTAAAGAACACGTTGACAAGATACGAAGACACCGACGTAGTAATAAATCTAAATCGCATTCACGTCATAGCATAAATAAATTACAATTACCTTCATCCGATTTATCTACAATGTCAGAAAGAAAAATTAAAGATACCTTTAGAATAAATATGGCAAATGTCATGGTACATTTTTTGAATCCATATAGAAAAAATGATTGTAAACAAGGTAGAATAACAAATACGGAAGATTTTAAACATCTTGCGAGAAAGGTATGTTTAAGAAGAAAATTTTGTATAAACTATTAACAAATTTATTTAAATTTTATTTTTATATGGTAACACTAAACTTAATTTCTCAAAAATGTTTTTTGTTTTAGCTTACACATTTTGTACTTGCAAAAGAATTAAAACACTGTAAAAGCGTTGATGAATTACAATGTAATGAAAATGTTAAACACAAAGCTAAAGATTTTGTACGTAAGTATATGAGCAAGTTTGGTGCAGTTTATCAGAAAAGTACTGATGAAGATTAATTATACAATTTATGACATGAAATTGTTATTTATTATATGAATCCTTACTTTAATATTGTAATATATCTACTAAAATGTATCTAATTAATGCCTGTATGTAGATATATCTGTAATTATTATTATTGTAATATAGATCAATTTGTACATGCTTCATAAACATTCTGGTAATTTAGCCACTAAGAAATTAGTGAATTTTTAACTTCGTACATTCAATGTATAAACTTTATATTTTCATTTAGTACAGAATAATATGTATGTTACATCTTTTAAAAATGCATTTTATGTCCTGCTATAATGTACATCTTGCATAATTATGTCAGGCATTGATCTTTTTCATGTCAGTTTCAAAAAGTGACATTAAATATTTTATTGTCAAATATCAATATTAAGAATTTTAAATATTGTACATACTTATAAATTGTAAAAGAATTTTTAACTGTTTCATAAAAGTAAGTTGCAATATCTCCTTAATGTGTATAAAAAGCAAATGAAATTAAAAACAATAAATTTTGCATTTACAATCTTATTTCTTATATATTTGGAACTTTGTATACTATAATTTAAAAAATGAAAGCAATATAAAATTTTTCATGAAAGAAATTCTTTATTGTCATTGTAATTTATTGAAGTTCTTCTGAAAAGCATCATTTTCAAAGTTTTCAAAAATTAATATTTCTAATAAAAAAAATCTATTTTGTTTTCATATTTTTTTCCCCTTTTTTTTATAAGAAAATTTTATTTGAAAATTTACATAGAATAAAAAGAAAAAAAGTTATAATTTATGTCATAAGTTATGACATTATTTTTATTAAATTTTTTTCTTTTCTATTTTAATATTACAGTTTGCTCAAAAAAATTTAATTTTGCTTTAAAATTTAATCTTTTCATTAATTACCAAATTTTTTAATTTTAGTAATTTATATCATTGCAGACTTTTCGTAAATTGTAATAAACACTTATATTTTGTTTTAAATTAATTTATAAAATATTTTAGTAATTTTTATATATCATCTATAATTATCTTTAATTATTTTTCTAAAGAAAGTTTTCAAAGAATGTCTAAGATTTTTCAAATTAACTTTAATTTATGATGTACATATAATATACACACATATGCAATGCAGTGATGTTCACCTAAATTTCAATAGGGTATTGTGCTTAAATTTCAATGATTTATCCCTATTATTCTTTCATAACTTAGTTTCTCGAATTGAATGGAACCTAATCTTTTTAACAAAATTAGTAAATAAATATAGTAGAATAAACGAGAAAAAATAGTGTGTCAAGCAACGATAATTAGAATTTTAAAAAAGCATTACATACATTATAATAAATCGATCATTTATAAAAATAAAAATTACTGCATTTTCTTACTTTATCATTATAATAATGATACCAACAGATTGGTAAAGTCCTTCGGATGAAAATGAATCGAAATACAATATATGTACCTATGGAATAGTTAAATTGATTATTAGTAAAACTTATCCAATTTATGTTGTGTTTGAAGTCATTTTCATTAGGAAAATCCCACTAATTTGTTAGTACTATTATTATAAAAATAAAGTGAGAAGCGTAGAAATCTTTATTTTTATAATTCAATGATCTATCGTGATGCATGTGACATTCTTTTGAGAGTTAATTGTAACTTGGTACACTATTTTCATTACTCTCATTTTTTCTTATCAAGTAACTAGACTTAAACTCTAGATAATTCCTAGTTTGAAATCGTTATCTGTTTTGCGAGAATTTCAACTTCGAATCCTGATTTGCTTAAATTTAAGTGAGCGTTACTGTAAATATTTTTTACATATGTATAAAAACATATTAACATATTATATTAAAAACATATGTATCTAGTTAATAAACTTATTAAATATAAGATAAAATAAAATGTACAATATAATACTATCATAAAAATATTCATTATTTTATGTACTTATAATTATTTAATCAAACATTATATATGTACTCTGAAATCAAAAATCAAGATGTTACATATGTCCTAATTATATATATATTTATTTAACTGTATGCATAAATTTAACAAACTTTACATTTTTTAATAATTATATTTGCTCTATAAAGGATAGGTTACACATGTTTCATTACATTTAATACATATTCTATACAAATATAACATAATTATTAATCATTTTTTTTAATGTTGATATTGATTAATATAAAGACTGATGCGCAAATTTATTCATTGAAGTTACATGAAAATACGAATTTGTTAAAGTTTAATGAGGATCTGTCATATGTTAAACGTTTTTTTAGTTAAAGATTCTTGTTGTTTATTTAATGTGAATAATTCAGAAAGTACTTTTATAGTTAACATATAAATAAAGTAGTTTTTAATCAATGAATGTGCTAAACCCCGAATTAATTTGGGTAGATGGTCGGTGTTATAGATTCTTAGGAAATACCGAATTGTCACATAGCCGCGATCCTTACTTTGAAGAAAATTATCAAATGGATTATAAAGATTCTGAAGATGAATGTTATGATACTGACATAGAAATTGTTCCATATGGGGCGACTACGTTTAAACATACATTTTATGTACCAAAGTAAAAATCATTAGCTTAAAAGTATATTATTTAAATTTGTAACAGTATTAATGCTATAATATTTTAGACCATTTTTTCCATTTATTGTTGGATCTAAACATGCAGTACGTAAAAGATTACAAGCTGAAACTGGAACTTTAATACAAGTTCCAAGATTTGGTCAAGGTGGAGATATTGGTAATTACATCTTGAATTTCTTAAAGTATTAATTTAAACATAAAGCTTTGTTTTTATAGTAAATAAATTTTGTTAGTATGATAAATATGTCTATATCTATATATTTAATACAATTATCTACTTGTCCAGTAATAATCGGTGCCAATCGTAAAGAAATAAGGACAGTGCGTCGTAGAATAAATTTATTAATCGAGGCAACAAGAAAAAAAATAAAAAGTACACACTTCTTGTCAATACCTTTAAATGAAGGTCATATAATAATGAAATTTAATATGTTTAAAAATGAAGTATTAACAAATTCAGGAAAAACATCCAGAGGTGTGGATGAAATGATTTTTCAGACACCAAGTAAATTACATCTTACTATTGCATTATTGACATTACTTGATGATACAGAAAGGAATCAAGCTTCAGAAGCTTTATATTATTGTAATGAGCATATTATAAAGTAAGAAAAATAACATGATTTAAGAAATATCTTTTGTTATTATATATTTAATTTGAACAAAATTATGTCATAAATATTTTATCCATATCTTGTATAAAACTTTCCTTATGATAAATTGCAGGCCTATAATAGAAAAATATGGGCAGATTTCTATATACATACAAGGAACTGAAATAATGAATGATGACCTTAGTGAAACAAAAGTTTTATATGCAAAGGTATTTTGTAAGAATGAAATTTTACAAAAGATTGCAGATGAAATTGTAAATTATTATTCCACCATAGGTAAATCTACATACCTTTTTAATCTTAGAAAATAATTAATCATATATTAACATCCAACATAGCATTAAATATACTGATAATAGAATAATATATTGTATAGGTTTATTATCTAAGAAATCTGAAAAAGTTAAATTACATCTTACTCTTATGAGTTCGAGATTTAAATTAAAGAACGAAGAGGAACATAGTGGCAAATTTATAACATTTGATGGAACAGAAATAATGAAAGTAAGTATATTTAATTACTTGAGCTATAATATATAATAATATTATAACTAAATAATTAAAAAATTTATAGACTCATGAAAATACATTCTTTGGAGAAACCACATTAAAACAAATTCATTTATCACAACTTGGTACAATTAGTAGTAATGGGTATTATCAAGCAATTGCAAAAATTAATTTACTTGAAAATTTATAAATGATAAGTACCATTATTATATCTATACACACAGATATATTTTAAAACATAAAGATTATAAGATGGTATCATATAAGAGAAACTTGCTTGACAAATCAAATACAATGTTGCGTGTGTATATGATCACCATCCGGGATCGCGTATGGCTATGTATTTGGCGAGTGTTTGCACGAATTGGGCAATAATTCTATGCTGACTCGTGAAATATAAGGAATAGAAAAAGCGACTAAGGTAATACGACATGGTATAATCGGCTCGAACGGTATAATGCAATTGTAAATTATTGTAGCAGCCTCGATTAACCCCTTAGCTTACGATGTCATGGGAAACGTCCTACAGCAATCGGACTAAACGTAGACAGCTCGTGTGAGAAACACGGTAATCGAGTTAAACGTCTCTCAAATGAGATGCGACAATCGGGTCAAACCTACACACCACGTCTCAGAAACGTAGTATATCGTTCGGGCTACATGTGATAAACAGTTACTAAGTCGTTAAAAATATCTTTCAAAAGAATATTAACCCTTTGAGCGCTGAGTTGTGCGACGTTAAACGTACGCTGTGGACCGCCCAATTCTTATGACAGAGCACGCGCTGGGCTGCCTGCTTTTTACGACGAAGCGCATGCTGCGCTAACTGAAATTTCATTGCAAAATATGTTGATTGTAACTGAAATAATTTGAGCAGTGACTGCAAAAACCTTAACAGGACCATTTATTTCATTAAGCAATAATAACATATAAAAAATACAATATACAAAATACAGCAATAATAACACAATATAAAAAATAGTAAATTATATCTTTTAAATTGAAAATTTAATAATTTTATATTGTGCATCTATTACAAAATTATTATTTTATAAAACTATACAGCGTTCATAACCCAGATTGAATGGTTGTGTGAGAACCCATATATGTGTTCATAGCCCAGATTGAATGGTAGGTGAGAAACATACTTATGGCACTCACAGGGTTGTCTTTTCGAGGTCATTGTATAGTGATATTTTATTTTCTATTCAAAAACATTGGAAGCGATTGGTTATTGAAGATGATACCGACAATGAAGACTACAATCAACAATCAGAGTCATGGATTAGGACAGAAAAAACTAAGAAATCAAAAATCTAGAATCAAACGGAGATTAAAAATAAATAAATCTTATAAATCTTCTTTGCAGAATAATCAATTGGTAGTCATTATTTATCAAACATCTTACAAAATAAAATTAGTTGTATCCTACACATGAATTTACATAGCAAAAAACATGTGCAATTTAGGCCACTTCAAACGCTCAGTCACAGCATAGAATGGTCCGACGCGTAACCGGTCTAGCTGCTGTTTATAGCCCGCGTCATTGAAACTTAAATCGTAAGGCAAGGAGTTAATGACGAAATGATGGCATTAAAGCCGCTAACACTCATGCCTAACTAAATATTATTTGTACCATTTAAAATTAATTCATACATGGTCAGGTTTGATATCATTTTAATCCTAAGAATATTAATACTCGGACCATATTATTTTCTTAATCATAAAATAAAAATGATAAGAAATTTAATTTTTTCTGGTTTGATACATCAGTATTGGTTAAACTATGATTTATATGGACTGCAGATAACATAGAGCTTTACCTTAAACAGATAGTCTCGGAAATGGTGAGAATAATTCTTGCCTATATATGCGGGTAGATTCGTGACCGTATACACGAGCAATATTGTATTTTTTAAAAGATATCTTTACATATCTTACAGTTTCTTCAAGATAAGTAAACATACAATGTTGTGTATTTTTATGATATTAATACAAAGATTTATAACAAGGAATAATTTGTAACTAATTATTAAAATTTAATCAGCCTTCTATATCTTTTAAATTTAAATTATATACTTTTTTGTTTATATATATTTTCATATCATTGTAACGTAAATATCTTAGATTCCATTATTAGATAATTCAATGATTATTTGCAAAAAGTATTTTTTGAAGATTGTACAAAACTTTCAATGTATATTTATGTATATTTAAAATATGAAAAAAATTTTTTATATGTTTGTGTTTACATGTGTTATAATTATTACTACTACTATTACTTATAAACTAAAAGAATCTAAATATCAATGATAATTTTAACAATTATTAATACTTTTTCTATTATTAGATATGTGTAATGTCAGTTCTGTTAATGTTGTTTGATAACAATAGTTTATATTTTCTGTATTATATATGTATAACAATATATATAATAATACTGGTTTTCATGTTGCAGTATAAATTATGTTTATTCACATATTTTTTATTATATGGGTTTAGCAATAATCAACAATAGCAAACAAAAATAAATATTTTATTGCACGAATAAAAATATCTTTTGACTTATTTTTCTAGCAAATATGTATAAAGGAAAGCTAAAGTATTATGAATTCAAATGCATAACAATTTTTTAATAAAAATTTTAATATAAATTTTTATTTTTTATGATTTTAGTCCCAGATATTTTTATCCTTTTTATACATCTACTTTATTTTGGTAGTTTAATATACTTGATCTTTGTTTATTTAATGAATATTTTACTTCTGTTCATTATCAAAGGTTATCAGGTATTCATGAGGAGTTTAAATTTTTATAATTATATTTTTATATAATTTTAAAATAAAATATTTTTCTATCTTCGTAATTCTTTTTATTTCTCTTAATGTTATTTTATTATTTTAACAATATAATATCAATTTATAGTTTTTATCATTTTACATTTAATACTACAAATGTCACAATTGTTCAAGAACGCATGCGTTATAAATATTAAAAGAGTGTCATACATCAAAATGATAGACGAATCAAAATCATATGATAGTTTTATCAAGTTATATACGTATAATGCAATTTAAGTTCTCGATTTTTATCATTGAAATAACTCTAACCTCTTTTCTCTTGCATGTAATATTGCTACGTAATATTAAAATTTATAAAAAAATTAATTTACTATTACTAGTGATAATTAATTTTATATAAGAATATTTTAAACATGCAATGATACTTAACAAAAAACTTATTAAAAGAGCTTATTAACGAAAAGCTTATTGTCAGTTAAAATTAAATGTCAAACTTTGTTTTATGGTATATTTATCAAATATTCAAGTTATTTATATTATATGTATATTACACACACACGCATATATATATTTATATACATACAATTATTTTTATTATATACATATAATACATATACATATAATGTATATAATGTATAATCTAATATAAATAATTGTCATGATATTAATTTCTAATATACTGAATGTAAATAAAAAGATCAATAGAATTCGTTTAGCATAATATATTACATATAAAATACTATTTTTAATTACTTAATACTTTTAATAACTTTTTTTTTCATTATACACAGTTTTGTCATTATATTATGTAAATTTTTACAATTTTTAATATTTGTAATTATTTATTTTTATTAACAATTACTCCAAAAGATATCAATATTTTCATTATTTTAATATTATTGCAATAAATAATCAAAAAAACTTTCATATTCATAATATAATTTGATATTTATCAAATTTATTTTTTATATTTTAATATTTATTACTTCTTATAAAAGTTTGTAAATTTACAAAACATAATATAATGTATGTTGATTCTTCTATGATATATGATGGTCAATGGACAACATACTGTAAAAAATTAATGTTAGATTATTTAATTTTTTTAGGTTTATAAAAAATGCATGGAATAAAAAGAATAATAGTTTTTTGTACATTAACAACTATTTTACCAATTATACTTCTTATAACACCATTGTATTTACGTCACAATTTTTATGCCAATGTAGTATATGCTGTAACAGATTCTGACATATTAGAAGTTACAGATGGTATTTCTACAATATTTTGCTCTGTAAGATCATTCTTCATTCTAATTAAATATTACACATAGTAAAAGTACAATATTTTTTCTGTAAATGAAACCATGAAAACAAATTAAATGAATGTAATACATGTTAGGCACAAAATTATATATAAATTACTGTTATCAAGATTATTGTTTATATAGGCTCATACTTTACAAATGAATAGAACATTTAATGCATTTCAAATGACGCAAAGACCAAAGATAACTTCATACAGGAAACATATACGTCTTAAGAAAAGTATGACTTTACCAGATGATACACTAGAGTATTGGGGATTTTATCTTTTAGAAGGAGCAAATGTAGCACTTTCGGTATGCTCAAGGTAATATAATATTATAGTGTGATTTATTATGTCATAGAATTAATTATTTATATATGAAATAATTACTTGTATAGATTTCAAGGTGCTTCTATACTTGTGGTTAAAGGAGAACGCAATTTACGAACATGTGGTGTGTTGGAACATCATAATACACAAGTTGTAGAAGGTATATTTTTACCAGAAGCAAAGAGACAAGTTAAAGTAACATTTAAATCGGATATAGAAGAAATTAATTCTAATAATACTATTACACAAGTCAATTATAATGATACATTAAATGATATTGAAAATAAGCTATTATGGAATATTAGCACAAATAATACTGAGCAAGATATTATAAATCTTTATTCATATCCAAAAGAAAATCTTACATTTAATAAGGAAAATCATGAAAAGGAATCAAACAAATTACTTTGGGATGAAAATACTCAGCAATACATGAAATCTATACAAAGAAAAACTGTATACAATACCAGAAGATTAAGACATGCTAAAAAGAGACAATATAAAGAACAAATGAAAGAAAGAAGGAAATATGTTGTATTGCAAGAAAGAAAGAGAACACAAGGAAATATTAAAATCAAAACTTACATTAAAAAGGATACAAATGATAAACATAGTTTAATTATAAATAAGTTGCAAAGGAAATTAAATTTAGATGAAAATAAAGAAGATAATATTCAAAATGGAATAAAAATACAAGACAAAATATTGGAAAAAAGAATTAAAAGAAATCAAGAAGTTGTCAAACCAACATTTTTACTGGATCAAGGTGTTAAACATGGTGGAAATGCTGGTAAAAATGCAACTGATACTGATAATGATTCTTCTGTATCTAGCTTTGAAAATGAATTGTTTAAATGTTATGGAGGCTCAATTTTAATGGCTCAAGAATTTGCACCTTCTGAACAGTGTACCAATGTTACATATTTACTTAATGGTAAACATATGCAAGCAGTACATAATGTTGTAGAAGATGGTTACTATTATTATATCTTTTATAGTGATAATGATATTGTATCTAATGATATATATGCATTATTTGATATCTATAAACCTATATTTCATTATGGGAATGTAACAAAGTCTTGTATAAATCAAACAAAATGTTCTTTTTCAATAAGTTTATTATCTTCTGATAGAGTAATTGTTGAAGTACCAACGAAAGATGATCTTGAATACGAAATAGATAATGTTAATTTACTTTTATCAGTTTGTCATCCACGTATGGAAGTATACATAATTTTTCCTGTTGCAGTATTATTCTTTATTCTTGGTTGTGCTTTTATGTAACATATTTTATTGTATTATAAATGCAACATTTTTATTTTCCACATACTATGTATGTATTTTCAAAAGAACATAAAATAATGTATATTAAGTATTTGAATTGTATTCAAATCACGAATCATTAAAAGACATATCCAATAAATACAAATTTTTAAAAAAAGGAAATATAAAAAATATTATCGATGTATGTATTAAGAAATATATATAAACATTTAATTTTATAATATAAAAATATATAAACTGCTGTAAATAAAACAAAATTAAGAAATATATGTATATACATCTATATTTAAGATATTAATGTTCTTACAGAATAACTATAAAAAATTGTACAAACTGTATATTATAAAGTATTTACATCTATAATTGTGATAAATAAAATTTGTAAACTTACAATAAATATATTCTTAGTTTATTTTGTTAAATATTACTTAAAAATATATTTTCCTATTACTAAATTCTTATATTTTTATTAGAAAATATAGAAAATTAAATTTAAGTTATAAACCCAGTTTCATACAAATATTTTAATAAATTATTAAAAAAACATTTGTTATTATTTATGTTTTAGATAAATTTTATTATACAAACATTTATTATAAAATATTAAATCGATAATTCAATTTGCAATTATACATATAATATCGTAAAAATTATAATAAATAATATTAATATGTTTATATGAATTTTAGTAATTGAAAAAATTATTGTATAATAAAATTATCAAAAATTATTATTTTTACATAAAAAGCAAATATGTTCTATAATAAAGTATTTAGAATCCATTTGCTCAATATGATAATTATAACTATTAATTGTATAATTATTTAGTTTAATAAATGGTACTATAAATTTGCCTGAGATAAAAATATGTAAAAACATGCAGATTGTTTTAAATAAAATTAAAAATATAAAATAAATACGTATAAATATTCTACAATATATTTGCATTTGCCTCACACACCCCACTAAGAGTTTGTAGAGGATTGTGGGTAATTAACGTACTTCCCTTATGCGCAAGAGACATTTGAAAAAGCAAATATCATAAAAACCAAAAAATTGTATAAAGAACAATTATATATTTTAAAAAATTTATATTCTGAAACATTCAAATTGTTTTGAATACATTTTACGTGCTCAATTACAAGAAAAGTTCACTGAAAATTTGAAGACTGTTTGCAGCGCCATTGTGCGGCACTCATAAGAATATTCCTTGTGACGCAATAGGAACTCGTCCTTTCCGTCGACCTACCGTGAGTGGAACATGTCGCATACGTCTGAGCGAAGGTAAGTTCGGTTTTTCACGCATAATCGAAAAAGATGCATGCTTTCTTACGTTTCACAAATTTTTTGTTTATGTTGTGTTCCTGTAAATCTTGCATCATGCGCAGCTAGACGTCGACACTTAATGATATATTCTTAAAAAATAGTACCGCAATCAGCGAATGCATGGACACGAGACTGACAACATGGCGTGCATTCGTTTTTGTCACATTGTTCGCAAAATTAATGTTAATCTCTTATTTCTATTACTTTTTATAACCTTGATATTGTTATGATTATGAATCACAATAATTGTGTATAAACTAAACGCTAAAACTTGTCAAAAATATATTTTAATCTTTATCGTGAGAATTGTATGCTACTTATCGTGCAAACACGTTTTACTTTGCATTTGAAATTACGTAATAAAAAATTAATTTTTTATAATTTGAACAGGAAAAGCAATACAAAATAAGCAATATTGAAAATGCTGCACAAAATTATTTATGTTATACATCTTATAATCAAGACATGTCTTACTTGTTCGGGCATGCTTTCGAGTGAGTCACTGTCAACGCATCTATCAAGTCATCGATAAATTCATTATCATACCTACTTAATGATTTGTCTCAAATATCTTGTTGTTATATTTCTATAATGTTCAATATTTCTTAGTAAGAAATTATTATATTATTAAGATAACAAATCTTTTAAAATTTAACGTAAAATTAAAATACGATGACGTTGAATTTTATGTTTCAAGGTCGTCAAGATTGAAGATTATTTATACCATTTTGCTTTTATTTTATAGTAAACGTGTAACTTAAAAGTCAATGCATTGAAATATTTATTCATTTTTGCTACCTTAATTAGAATTAAGGATTAAAGTAATGCAAATAAAATAAATATTTTATAGAATTTTTATGCAAATCATATATGTTAAGTATCTATAAAATAAACTAACAAAATAATATGTTACTTATATTGCAGAAACGATGATCAATGGGCAGGAGATCCCAAAAATGGTCCTAGTGAAAGTGTTCAACAAACATACGATGGCCCTCCTGGCATGGAGCCTGAGGGGGTCATTGAATCTAACTGGGATGTTGTAAGTTAACAGTTACTATTAATATACCTTTTATTATGAAATGTGAAATTAGGCATCAAAATTTACATAATCTGTAAATATGTAAATTAGGTCGTTGACAACTTTGATGAAATGAACCTTAAAGAAGAATTACTGCGTGGTATTTATGCTTATGGCTTTGAAAAACCATCTGCAATTCAACAACGTGCCATTCTGCCATGTATAAGAGGACATGATGTGATTGCACAAGCACAGTCAGGTAAAAAAAAAAAAAGAAAAAAATATATATAAATTTTATTCGAACAATAACAAAATTGTGTTACTAATTTATTGTTGAATAGGTACTGGCAAGACTGCTACATTTTCAATCTCTATTTTACAACAAATTGATACCAGTCTTAAAGAATGTCAAGCTTTGATTCTAGCCCCAACTCGTGAGCTTGCTCAACAAGTGAGTATTAATAGATCTATAACGTTAGCTCATTGTTAAATGAGTAAGTTACTTTTGAACAAATGTTTTTGAGGAGGTTTCTAAAAGAAATTGTAAAGAATCCATTCTAATGAAAATAAACAATATAAAATTAAAAAATAGGGTTAATTGTATGTATTGTAAATCAAGTTAAATAACGAGATAATAAGATAAGTTTACCTGAATGGTTGACAATGAACATTAATTATATTTATCAGACAAGTAGAATTTCGTATAAATTTCTTTTTCTATTTCTTTGTTTTAGATTCAAAAAGTTGTTATTGCTTTGGGCGATTTTATGCATGCAGAATGTCATGCATGCATTGGAGGTACCAATGTACGCGAAGACATGCGAAAATTGGATCAAGGTGTTCACATAGTAGTTGGTACACCTGGTAGAGTTTATGATATGATTAGTCGACGGGCATTACGAGCCAGTAGCATCAAACTGTTTGTACTAGATGAAGCTGATGAAATGCTCTCCCGTGGTTTCAAGGATCAGATTTATGATGTATTTAAATTATTACCTCAGGAAGTACAGGTACATAGAAATAGAAATTCTAATTATATTTTTTATATTAATGATAAAAGTTTTATATGTATATTTACTTATTTATAAATTTATGTTTAAATCTTTTCATAACTTTTTAAATTGGATAACATAAAAACATAGATTTTAACATAGATCATACATCTTGTATTTTCAAAATTTTTATCATTATTTTGAACTAAAAATAAATTATATAAGCAGTTCGGTATAATTTTATTGTAGTCAGATAATTTTATAGACAATATTCAAATAAATTTATGCCCATTAATAAACTAATATAACAAAATTTTAACTTTTCAGGTCATATTACTGTCTGCCACCATGCCATCAGATGTGTTGGATGTATCCAAATGCTTTATGCGAAATCCAATTCGTATCTTGGTTAAAAGAGAAGAACTTACACTAGAGGGTATTAAACAGTTCTTCATTTACGTTGAACGTGAAGAATGGAAATTCGACACTCTTTGTGACTTATACGATACATTGAGTATCACTCAAGCAGTTATTTTCTGTAACACACGGCGTAAAGTAGATTGGTTAACAGAAAATATGCGTACTCGTGACTTCACAGTTTCTGCTATGCATGGAGATATGGAACAGAAAGAAAGAGATCTCATTATGAGGCAATTTAGAACTGGATCATCTCGGGTCCTCATAACAACCGATCTTTTAGCACGTGGTATTGATGTTCAACAGGTTTCACTTGTTATTAATTATGATTTACCTTCCAATCGTGAAAATTACATTCACAGGTAAGAAATACATTCTGATATATAATATTTGTATATTATCTTATAAACTATTTTTTGAAATTTATTTTTTTTTTTAAATAGTGTAATGTACAAAGTGTAAAAAGTAAAAATATTGAACTGTATTACAGAATCGGTCGAGGTGGTCGTTTTGGTCGTAAGGGAGTGGCAATTAACTTCGTAACAGAAGAAGACAAACGAACCTTGAAAGATATTGAACAATTCTATAATACTAACATCGAAGAAATGCCAATGAATGTTGCAGATTTGATCTAAATCTGACTATTGGCTATAATTCATTATAATTAAAAAAAAAAAAAAAATAAAAGTAAGTGAAATACGGAGCTCTCAGCTGATCTCTCATGGTGTGTGAGTATATATAGAGTGAGTTGGTGAACTATAATCGCTTATGTAAACGCGATCTACCGAATTATTCCAAACGTTTTCATCTCAATTTCATTTTATAATAGTAGATTACAGAATTAGATATCCGTTACGCTAGAAAAACTAGTACTATTATATTATAATTATTACAATTATCACTACGGATACTACTATACTGCTATTTCCTACCACTATTGCTCGTACTATTATTACTGTTACTGGTATATACTCTTGCGCTACTCTCTTCTTGTTCAATATTTATTACTACTACTTTTCCCGCTACTATTCCTACTATATAACTCTCTACTACTAATATCTCTGATACCCCTATTATTACCACTACAAATACAGAGATTGCTGCAATTTCCAGTACGAATTAGTAGCGTTATCGCATCGATAAAATATAATTATTACGACCACTACTACTGCGAGAGGGGAAAAGGGAAAAACACTGAAGAGTGAAGCAATTTTGCCAACTTCAGTTGTTCTTTTACCTCTCTTCTATCTTAAATCAGAGATATTTTCTATTTTACGTAGATGCGTCCACAATCTTATCTAACGTGCCTAAATTCTGTTATGGACTTCAGATCTTTTATCTTGAATCATTTTATTTCGTCTTCTTTCCTATATGACTTTCCCAACTGGATGATTTATTCTATGTTTCGTGGTCCCTCTTCAACACTTTTACCACCGCGATTACAACGTGTTTGTCTAGGCAGAGGTTTAGTTGGGTATTGGAAGGGGTATTTTAATCACAAGCGTTGCCGAAGGAGATGTACATTCAGATTTTAGATGATATGAATTTTTTGTATGTCCCAAATCCCAAGTACATACCTTCATTAAGAAATAAAATGTTTGACCTTTTAATTGTGGTTTTTGTTATTGCATTCATTGTTGTACTCAAATACTTGAAAAACAATTTTATTTCATAATGGGAATCCAGATGAAACATTTAAAAAGAAAAGAAAAGAATGAAACCGTGTGTAAATTAATACGACATATTCATCACCAGACCATACCGAGAACAAGTTCTATGAACTATATACATTATCGAAAAAGTTCTCACAGTTTTTATTTGTATTTGCAGGCAATTTTGAGCGGTCCAGAAATGAGGGAGATATTTTTGGAAATAAAGACCAAATTTCGTGATTCAATATAGAAGTTTTGTAAATCGATTACCTCTCAAATTTCCTGCCCTTTGCAGGTTATTAACAACATAATAACAATATAAATGTCGAATTATTTATATATACGCTTGAATTATTTATTTTTAATGATTATAGAAGCCAGACTTTTACACGATCATTTTATATCTTGTCAATAAAAAAACGTATAAAAATATTTTTCATTTCATTAGTTGTATATTTGTGTGCTTTGTTGGGAATAAAATTTTAATGTTTCGTATAATGTGAGAACTTTTATATATATCTTCGTAAAGAAAATGTTACAAATAAATATCTGATTTTTCTAGCAGAGTCTCATGTTGTAACGTCGATAATAGTTTTCGAAAGTTGGAGTAATTTCATACGACTTTTGATAAATTCACTCAGTTCTTGTCGACATTTAATATTACTGAAATGATTTACGATATATGCCTTTCGTATATATACGGACTTAGAAAATGCTCGAATTTCCGAAAACTGTCCATTATTACAATTTTGTAAATATTACAAATGATCTTTTTAGATGGTGGACCATTGTGAGTTTTATTGTATTTATACATTATACAAGCAATATTTATGGTTGAATTGAACTACTATGATCGACATAATAAATGTGGATGTCGTTCACATACAACCATTGCATCAATATTTTTACTTGTCTATATTTATTTTAAATATTTGTGTTTATTTTACGTTAAGCGAATTATGAGGCACGTTGCTAAGGCCATAGTAACGGATTTTGGCCTTCATACCCTTCAATGTAACATAATAGATAATACTTGGATAACCCGGGAATCATGAGAACAACTACTTTCACTTTAACGTAATTATTTACCTTAATCAAATAATATATAATGTATATGTAACAAAAAATAACTTATATAATTGTGTACTGTATTTGCACAAAGTAATATTAAAATGGTCGAAAGCTAAATTATTCTCAATATTGTTGCTTCAATAAATGAATTATTACAAATTTGCTTTCACAAACCAGCTGTTGAAAATTTGATCTTTTCCAATTTCTAATGATTCTTGTGAACTATCGATAAATAACTAATTTATCAAATGATCATTAATTACTAACTTTATGAATTATTGATATGTCTTACTACTTCTTGTAGTACTCATATTCTTGACATACATTGTTTCAAGAGGAGTGCAATGTATCGTAATATATCTAATGATGTATTGAACTTCGACAATAATTCGAAGTTTTTATATCAAATACGTTTGTCCAAAAAAATTTTAAACTATTAATTTTTACATTACCCTTCAATAAATCGGGTTTATGATACGTCTATCATTGCTATTGAAGGCAGAAAGTAAAAGTTTTAATAATGAATTTCTACTTTCCCATTCGAAAACAAATCGATTTTCAACTGAAAATTCTTCAGCTTAAAAATAGCAAGTGATTCGTAATTGTGTCATAAACCTTATACTGGTAATAAATGTTAATACTTATACTTCTTATACTTTTAAATATGACATTTATGTATTAAAAAAATACATAAATCAAATATGTAATAACGCTTCAAATATCAGAGTTAAATAGTATTTAAAAACTATAAACAGATTTATTAAATTAATTTATTAAAGATTACCTAATAATGTCAGTAGATCTTATTTCATTATTCATTTAAACAACTTGTTATGATACATTTTTCATTTTTAAAATCAATTTATGGTGATGTAAATTAATTATATTGTTATATATTTTTAATATAAATTGTGGTGAGTTATAAGATACATAAATTTGCGTGCTCTAATATTTTTATAATTGTTATTAAATAATATATAAAATCTAAAAACATTAAATTTTTTAATTTTCGAAAACAAAACTTTTTACTTGTCAAATAATATTTAAATGTAGTTGTTGAATTTCCATAGGTAAATTTTTATATCTATTTTAAATATTTATAAACATGTGAATATATTTTGATTTCCATTTACACGATACGAATTTATTGTAATAATTCAAATGAGCATATATAATATTATTATAAGTATATTATCAATAGTTAAATGTTTTTTAAAAATTTATAACAGTTAAAAGAAAATATGAGATAAATTCGAGTAAAAATAAAATCACAAGATTAAAAGATATGATAAATATTTGTATCACAAATACATTTTTACTATTTATTAAATGTCATTAAAAAAAATTTTTGAATTTTGCATACAGTTTTATAAAATTATGTATATCCAATTTAATCTATTAAATTATTAAATACCAATTCTGGATAATAGGTATTGCTAAAAATACTAATAACTATTAATAGATATTAATAAAAATAGAAAATTTGGAATAATTAAGCTTTAACGTAAATATCTTTTGTTATGTTTTTCTTATTTAGATATACGAACTATACATATATTAAAATTAAAATCGATAAATATTAACTTTTAAATATATGTAATCAATCGTGAAACTTTTATATATTAACAAAATGTTTAATTTTACTTCCTTTAATATATTCTCATTGTATAAATACAGCGTGATTGCATAGAATACTAGTTCACAATATTTAAATTACATTATAATATTTGAATATTTAATTACCGTACTTGAATTTAGTACAGTGATAACACGATAGTTCGCGCCAATGATTGGTAACGCTTTAGGTAGCATTTCTGTAGTATCTTAGAAGTGGGGAGAACTTGTGAACTTATATAAAACAATTACTTATCGCATGGTGAGACTTTGTGAATTGTGTTCGCTCGTGATTCGATCTTTTAGGTTACACGTATGTTACACATTGTTTATACTTACTTCAAACTATTGCGAATGTGCAATATCCTAACTAATTAAAATAGTAAGCATGAAATTCACATAAAATTTAAACAAAAACGATTTTTTATTTACTTTGCGTTTCATGCTTTTGTTTATATTTAAGCTTAAAAGTCGAGTATATAGTTCCTTATTTTTAATAAATTACGCAGTAAACATATTTGTCAATAGTAGTAGTGAATCTTTTACAGACCTTATTTCTTTATTTTATCTAAACTAGTCATCCTAAATAAAAATGCCTTTTATTTTCGAAGAACAATTACATAAAAGAACAACTATGTCTGCATCACCAACTGCAAGGCAAGCGACTCAGAGCCAAAACATACCTTCAAAACGAATCGTTATCAATGATCCTAGTCAGTTACCTACTGATTATTCATCGACCCCTGGTGGAACGCTTTTTTCAACTACACCCGGAGGTCAGTGTCTTTTTTTTTCTTATGTTATTGATAATATTACATATTTTTAAATATAATCGGTTAGAAATTTTAGTATAGGTCGTATAATAGTATAATATAAATTATTGCATTAATTAATTGATTCATTAGTATGAAATTAACAGGATTTAAACCAATTTAATTTTATAGATTTGTTAGGAAACTTATAAATAATTATAAGAAAAAATGTAAAAATAATAAAAAAAAATTACTTCAAAATAACTAAGATTTTAATAAATTTAGATATAAACACTACTGTTTGCTTTATATATGTTATATTATGGGAGATATGTTTTATGTATATACATTACCGAATACTGTTAAGATTCGTTCACAACTTGAGTTTAAAATTATTTAATATCAAATGTGTAAACTTCTCAAATATTTGGTATAAATACATTTTTCATTTGATAAAATAAAATTACACATATTTTACGAACTACACAAGATTTTTTAAATTTATAATCATTTTTCGTACTTAAATAAATGATATAATAGTAGTAATTTTTTTTTTATTTCTTTTTAATATTTAAAAATTATTTTGTGTATAATGTGTTCGTTACATTTTTCTTTTTTTTATTATTATTTATTTAATGTTGCATCAATTTATAAAGCCATTAGCGACCAGACTTTCAATACATTAAGAGCATTATAATATAAAGGTAGAACCGTTTGTTAATATCTGTTTACTATTAATAATTTCATTTGACATATAGAATAAAATATAATATTTCTATAAATTTTCTTATTAATTTATATCTTATTAATTTCCATAAATTTTTATTAAGATATTAATTATTTTATTTTTTCTACAATAATAAAAATATATAAAATAAGTGAAGAGAAACAATTTCAATTAGCAAATTCATTTTTAAAAATTGTATCTATATATTATTTTCAGATTACTTCACTTTTAGTAAATGAAATGATGTTTTTATTACAAAGTAAATAAATTAAATACAGTTCTTAAATACATATATATATTGTTTTTATATATTTTGTACTTTCCTAAAAATATTAAAAATATTTTATTTATAAAGTTTAAAGCAGATATTGATTAATTTTTAAACTATATTTATACTCATAATTAAATTAATTATTTGACAAATTTATAAAATAATTTGTTATGAGAAAACAAATGTAATGTGAATAAAATTAGTATTCTGTGAATAAATATGTTTTTCTATGTGTAGTAAGTAATAATCTAAATGTTAATACAGAGGGCAAATTATTGATAATTATATACAGATTTATTTTTTATGCAATTATTTTAATAAATGTTCTAAGTAAAAATATTATTACAAAATATATAGAATTGAAAAGATTTAAATTATTTGGATTTTTATGTATTATTAGAATATACACATGAATATAGTTTTATTATAATACAAATAAATATAGTTTTATTAATTATTAGTATAATGATATTAACTTTATTTATTTTAATATATAAATACATACTACTTCTCGTTTTTTTAAAATGTCTTGTAATTTTTGTTATATTTATAATGTAATATATTTCTAGTAACTTTCTTGGAATTTTATTTTATATTTTCGTAAGAAAGTAGATTTTATTGTTATTTAGTTTCAATCTTATAATTAAATGAATATCTATCTTATTAGTTAAATAGCATATAACAAATATGAAAAATTGCTTTAATGTATAATAACTAATTAACTAACAGCATTTCTGTCTTATAAATAATATACTTATATTTCCGTAAGGATATTTTTAAAGTTAAAACATAAAAGTTACAATAGATAGGAAATAAAAGAAAAAAGTTAAAATTGGTAAATTATAATTTACAGTAATATATTTGTAAATAAACTAAAATATATTGAAAATTTTTAAATGTAACAATTATTCAAAATATAAATATACTGCATGAATGAAATTACAATAATTATCAGTATAGTTATAAATAGTTTCATGAAGAGACTTCAAGAAATATTCTCATTATATATGTAAATAATTAATACAATGTGTAAAAACTATGCAGGTACACGTATTGTTTATGAACGTGACTTCCTAATGAATTTACGAAATTCTCCCATATCGAAGACTCCACCACGAAATTTGCCATCCATACCTGAAAAATTATTAAAAAAAATATCATCAAATCCCTCAACACCAGCAAAAAATCAAATTAACAAAGGTTAGTACTAGCATAATTCTGAATATAACTAGTATAATTTACTTTTTGATTATTTTCTGGTTTCATTTAGTTCATGCATTATTTCACATTATGAATTTTAATTTTAACTTTGTGTGCATGTGCATGTGTGTATAGATTTTTATGTATATCTCACAAACTTTAATATGTTATTATAAATTTGTTATACTAATAGTTTGTAATTTTTTTATTTGCAGAAACATTAGCATACAAAAATCAGCTAATTTATCTCATTTAATATATTACAGATACTCCATTAATTGAAGAATCTGTGGAACAATTTGAGATGGATATGTAATAAGTTGCGACTATACTATATTCATGTTGTGCCAACCATTTTAATGAATAGTAATAATCAATATAATCATAAAAATATATTAGCAATACATCATTTTTCTATGAATATATATCACCAGGGGCCTTAAATAGTACTAAGTGTTTATATAACATAATTCAAACATATTATCTGTAGCTGATATAGTTATATTAATTCATTACATTATTATTTTATTTACTAATAAAGTTACTTAAATCAGTACATTTAATTATATTAATGACCATGTTACTTTATAACTTATTTGTACTACAATGAATAAATAATATTTTGATAATAAAGTTATTTTCTGTGAATTACAGTAATTGATTTATTAACAAAACAATATAAATAATTTATTAAGTAGACAGGAAATTAAATTTCTGTATTTATGTCTTTTCATTAAAAATTTGTATTTAATACAAAATCTATCATAACTGGCCAAATGACCAACGGATAAAAAAATGAAAAAAGAATCTTAAAAAATAATAGAATAAGAGGAAATATTGAAAAATTGATTGTATGTGAGTTAAACGAAACATAGCCAAGTGACGAAAGTGATAACATTGAATGTGGAATTTTAAATCGTAAGTTTGAAAATGGTCATTTAAACCATAGTATGGTTAGTGTTAAAATTTTATTTTCTAATTTCCTTAAATAAAATGTACAAAAAATAGTTTATTTTAGATATTTATTTCAAATATTTTGTATTAAGTTTAAAATAAAATTAGCTACACAATAGTATTTAGGACAATATGCAGAGATAGTTATAATACGTATAGGTAATAATAGAAAGTGAAATTGAAAGTACATTTTTTAGAAGCACGCTATAAATAATTCTCTATTCATAGATTTTATATTTTTTCTTATATCCTTATCCTTTTCTTATTATCACATTTCAAAGGTTTTATTTTGGAATTTCAGAAAATGTATCCTTGAATTTGAATGTATTTGAAGTACATTAACATTTAAGTAAATTATCTTTTATTAAATTATTGTTCTGAATTTCAGACAATCTGTCTAAAATAACTTTCGCAATATTGACTTTAACACCATTATTATCATAATCATCATAATAAATTAATTCACAAAAATCTCTTAATTCTGGATCATTATCTAGTAACATTTTTAATTCTTTATAAAATTGTTTTATAATATTTTTACGATATTTCTTGTAGACATTTTTTATAGAATAAAAATATTTCTCAATCTCAAAGAAAGTTAGTAAAGGTGATGCACCTTCTACCACTACGTACACAGGTGCATTTTTTCGTTCACCATTGGCATAAATTTTATATACAGTGTTATGAAATGTCCGTCTTTTAACTCCTGCTCGATTACGTATCTCATCTTCTAGATCCATAGCACTTTCCATCCATTTATATGAAGCTTCTTTTAGATCAGGTGGGATATATGATGATGATGGAATTAAGATGAATAGTTTATGAACTGCTATATTTATGTTATGTATGTCTTCAATATTTTCTATTTTTTCAACTAAACCTTTAATGACAGTGCCTGATGAAGGAATTATCAATTTCAAATACCCATGATAATAATTGTTTGCCATAAAGACTCCACAATCTAAATTCTGTATAGAATTAACATCAAAAATATTTTCTTTGCTTTGTTTATCAGAATTTTTAATTTGTAGTAAAATCCATAGAATTATAATGTATATTATAATTATTAATGCATCTGATATATGCAGATAATTATATAAATACTGAAATTTAATTATATTTAATATACTGAAATTTATAAAAATAATACTTAAGATTGATAATGTATTCATATTAATTTTAATTCTGCTTGGAATCACAATATTTATATTACAAATAAATTAATATTTATAAATTTGTGTAGTGTTACTTGTTATTTTTGTTAATTTTATTATTATATAATTTTTTGTATAACCTTATTGTATTACTTTCACATTTAGTCAATTTTTTATTTGAAAGATAATGTTTCATTCATTTTTATAAATTATAACTTGGGAGAATGAGATTATTGGATATAATAACTTATACCAACTGTTAATAATAAATAACTATTACGATCTAATGTATATTATATATATATTTCATAAAATTCATCTTCCTGAGTACTTTACAATAATGGAAAACTTATATGAAAGTTGTATTTTAACTAAGCCTAGTACTTTAAAATTGAAATCTAATAGATACATAAATCAGAAGAATAGATCATTTTTCTGATTCATGTATATACATAAAATTATAACGATTAAAAGAATGCTTTCGTGTTAAGTAAAAAATTAAATATATTAAAAACCGGAGGAAATGAAAATAAAACAAAGATAGTGAAATTAAACGAGGAAGGGACAGGTAGTGCACATATTGCTAGGTCAGAGCGCTGTTAACGTACGTGAACAAGTCGATTGACCTACGGCACAATCGAAAGCATGTACGATCGATAAAGCCTATAATCTGGAAACGTTTTCTGTAAAAATTGTCGAATAGTTTGTCAGGCAGATTTATTTAACGAAAAGACCTAACGAACGTATCTACATCACTCTCAAGTGCATCGTGGAATAAATATCTCAGCAGGTGATTTTTGTTGCTGATTAGCGCCATATCTTACAATGGACCAATCAGCTGCTTGGTAAACCGCCGTAAAACCTCGAATCTGTCCGTAGACGAATGACAACAAAAGAGACTGATAGAAGTCGCGCGCGAGACAGTGGATTTTTTCACGACTCTCCAGAAGATTTGTGGTTTTTTCCATTTTGTTACTCGCCGCGAATAACGTCGCTTTGGTCGTGGTGAAAGTGTCAAGGAATATGAAGAGAAGAAATGTCGAGTGCGGTAAGCTTCGGAGGCCCTTGAAACGCAACAAGCTCACCGAGGGAATCTACGGAAGGTAAATTTTGGCCGCCATATGTCTTCTCATTGGAATAGCTAATTTTAAAAATAACCAAAAATTCAATGAATCTTTCCTTGGAATATGCTTAAACCATCAGTCACATACTATCATGTTTTTCGATTTATAGAGTGTAGAAACCTCTATGATGCATTGTGTCAGTATGTGATTCGTTGACCGCTTTCCAGAAGCTGCATCATATAACTTGACATTTGCCAAAACCTTGACCATGTGTGCTTGTTTTTGTAAAAATGTTTGTTGTATTATTTTTTTATATTTGTTTTCTTTATTCATATTATTATAATTTTATTATTTTATCTAATGTGCAACAGAAGTAAATAGTTTTAACATGTAATTATTATATAAATTTATAAGTTCAACAAATTTTCATTTATGTATTCTTTTTTTAACTGTCATTGGTTTACATTGTGTAATTATATAATTAAGATTTATTAATTATATAATGCGCTTTCATTTTTACTTAATTATTTTGTTTTGTTTGAAATTGTGTAATTTATATTCGTTTTTGAAAATGTTTTCTTTTTTTTTAATATTTTATTATTAAGTATTTCAATAGTTTCTTTCACAAACTTTTAAAATTAAATTCAATATTTATATGTATTATATAGTTGTGTTACAATTAGTTATAATAAAATAATAAAATCTTTTATTTCAGTACTTTACTTTATCTAAAATTTCTTCTACTATGGGCCATGGTAATTTTGGCAGACTTCATTTTAGAATTCCGATTTGAATTTTTATGGCCGTTTTGGCTACTTCTCAGAAGTGTTTACGATTCTTTTAAATATCAAGGCTTGGTAAGTAATATACAGTTTAAAACATGTATGTTTATGCAATAAATGATATTTGATTTTAGGATAACATAAACTATTACATTTTCAGGCCTTCTCTGTATTTTTTATTTGTATTGCTCTTACATCAGATATGATTTGTTTCTTTTTCATACCAGTACATTGGTTGTTTTTTGCTGCCAGCACTTATGTTTGGGTACAATATGTTTGGCACACAGGTAAATACAAAGTTTACATTTCAGGTCATTTGCATCAATTTCAATTACAATAAAAATAATATAAACATATTATATATGAAACAGATAAAGGTGTGTGCTTACCAACTGTGATGCTATGGTTACTATTTCTATACATAGAAGCAGCAGTTCGATTAAGAGATTTGCGACATATGCCTTTTCATTTGGACCTTTGTCGACCATTTGCAGCACATTGGTATATATTTCCTTCTCATTGTACATTCTCTTTTTTTATGTTTATATTAAGTTCTTAACATTGGGCACTATAAAACAAACTTCGCAAAAGCAACTTTATCAGTAACAGAGAATTGATAATTCATTTTTGTGTTAGTACAGAAAAAAAATAAAATTTGTTATTGAAAATAAAGTAAAAATTAAGATGCTTTGTGGTTTTAATACAAGATTGATATATTATCAAAGATGTTGTCTATAAATACAGGATATAATTACAAGATATTAAGTTCACTGTTGTAGGATTAAGAAATGTAAATAATGTGAATTATTAAAATGTATAATTATGTAAATGATGCTAAATTAATAATAACATCAATACAAAAATTTCCAATAAAAGTTATGGTAAAAGTGCTTAAATCATTTTTTTTTTTTTTTTTTCAGCATTGGTTATCCTGTAGTTACATTAGGTTTTGGTTTTAAAAGCTACATTGGCTACAGAATGAGACAGGTAAATCTATAGCAAATATATAATTTAGAGATTGATTTCATAAGTTTTATGTATATAAATTTTCTTTTGTTGCAATTGTTTTTTTGCAGAGAAAACAAAAAGATGTAGCAAAAGAAAATGAATTCTACCTACAACTATTGCAGCAAGCACTGCCTCTAGAGCAACAAAATTCTGCTACAATACAACCAATACAAGTTCCATCACAAACACATAATACTACCTTAGAACAACATGTTAAATCACAAAATAATAAATTAAATTCACAGTGTAATCCAAGTCCGGAAAAAAGTAGAGGTAGTTTGTATTTATTTTCAACTTTAAATATATATGTAGTATTAAAAATTAAAATAGGGTATAACTTAATAACTAAATACATTGTAGGAAACAGCAATAATACTGTAGAAACAGGTGTACAAAATGGTAATTTACATATAGCTACACAAATTACATCAACAAACCAAAATGTAACAACAAAAAATAATCACAGAAAGTCCTTGGATAAAGGTGAGAAGCTAGAAGAACAACATAATAAGCATAATGTAACAAATGTATCACAATCTGACAAAAATGACAAAAGATTTATACATACAAATGGAAATACTATTAATCATAGTGATATGCAATTCATTGAAAGAGTTGGGTAAGTAACATGTATATATATGTATTTAAGCATAGTCTGTTTACTAGTAAAGCAAGAAATAAAAATTTTAAATAATATTTTTGAAATATTTTGAATAATTAATGCAATATTATAATAAAAAATTATCATAAGTAAAAATATTATTTGTTTAGATTTTAATTAGAAAAATTTTTTTTTCAATATTGTAAAGGTAATCTTTGTCACAACTTTTTATCATAATTCTATATATATTTATGAAATGCGATAGTTTATTTTTTTTTTTTTTTTTTCAGCATTGGTTATCCTGTAGTTACATTAGGTTTTGGTTTTAAAAGCTACATTGGCTACAGAATGAGACAGGTAAATCTATAGCAAATATATAATTTAGAGATTGATTTCATAAGTTTTATGTATATAAATTTTCTTTTGTTGCAATTGTTTTTTTGCAGAGAAAACAAAAAGATGTAGCAAAAGAAAATGAATTCTACCTACAACTATTGCAGCAAGCACTGCCTCTAGAGCAACAAAATTCTGCTACAATACAACCAATACAAGTTCCATCACAAACACATAATACTACCTTAGAACAACATGTTAAATCACAAAATAATAAATTAAATTCACAGTGTAATCCAAGTCCGGAAAAAAGTAGAGGTAGTTTGTATTTATTTTCAACTTTAAATATATATGTAGTATTAAAAATTAAAATAGGGTATAACTTAATAACTAAATACATTGTAGGAAACAGCAATAATACTGTAGAAACAGGTGTACAAAATGGTAATTTACATATAGCTACACAAATTACATCAACAAACCAAAATGTAACAACAAAAAATAATCACAGAAAGTCCTTGGATAAAGGTGAGAAGCTAGAAGAACAACATAATAAGCATAATGTAACAAATGTATCACAATCTGACAAAAATGACAAAAGATTTATACATACAAATGGAAATACTATTAATCATAGTGATATGCAATTCATTGAAAGAGTTGGGTAAGTAACATGTATATATATGTATTTAAGCATAGTCTGTTTACTAGTAAAGCAAGAAATAAAAATTTTAAATAATATTTTTGAAATATTTTGAATAATTAATGCAATATTATAATAAAAAATTATCATAAGTAAAAATATTATTTGTTTAGATTTTAATTAGAAAAATTTTTTTTTCAATATTGTAAAGGTAATCTTTGTCACAACTTTTTATCATAATTCTATATATATTTATGAAATGCGATAGTTTACTATAGAATATTTAATATTTATGTTAAGTTATTAATATATAAATATTATATTTCATTATTTAAATTTAATTAGCGATTTTATATTGTTAATTATAATATTAGTTATAATTTCTCAAATATTCAAATTTCGTATGTGTATAATATATTTTAATCATTTATGTAAGATAATAAGAGTTCTACCAATCCTTTGAATGACAATTACAGATCTGTAAATGATTTTGATGCAAATGAAATAGAAAAAGACAAATTTATCAAAGGTGGGAACTGTGGACATACTACGGTAAAATCACAGGCTAATGGTTCTGTGACAGGAAAGTGGAATAACATTAAAGAAAATCGAGAATCATCTTCAACTGTTAATACTCAACGTGAACGAAAAACACGTCAAATTAAAGCTACAGTTGATAATATAACTGAACAGCAAAAACAGCAAGATGAATATTATCAAAGGTACATTACTCACGCGATTTAATGAATCGATGAAAATATTGTTGTATATAATATATTTTATATGCACCTCCATTCCTTTACTTTTGTGTGAAATTAAAATTTAACACTTCGTCTATCTATATTCTTATTTTTTGAGTTTTATAATTTTGTTAACTCAGAAAATACATAATTATTACATTATCAGGTTTTTTCTTTAGTGTAATATAATGTCGTTCAAATAGGTTACTGATGTGTCGCAGGCTTGAAGCTGACATAAAACGTTTGAAGTCAGATCTACAATCCAGTCGACAATTGGAACAAGAACTTCGTTCTCAGATAAATACCTTACAGAATGGAGAACGTCAAGCTAAGGGTGATATACAGCAACTTCAACACGATAATGATCAGTTGCAAAGCAAGTACGTATAAACAATGTAATTCCTATGTCATTAAAATTAAGTTTATATTTAAAATACATTGTTGTATGTTTTATGTTTTTGTATTCTTACCCTTTTTTTGTTATATTTAACTATTTTTCTTTTGAATAGGTTACATGGATTAGTAACAGCTCGTCAATTAGATAAACAAACAATGTCTTCGTTGGAAAAACGAATCGCAGAGGAACGGAAACAACGCACTGCTTGTGAGGCGTCTTTGGTTTCCGAGAGGAGAGCACGACGAGCTG